TTACCTTTTTTTATCAGAGATTGTGTAAATATAATATTAGCATGTATATTGTACCATGAACAAAGTTTCGTTTCATAAGAATCACCATATATAAAGAAAAATACAAAAAATATAACAACATACAATTTTTGCATAAATAATTAGCTCTAATTAGCATATTCTAATTTTTAAAAAAAATTTCAACTACGCAATATTGCAGATCTCATGGACATCTATCACAATGCCAAATTTTTAGTCGATCGGAGTTTCGGTTGCCGAGATCTTAGAGGGCCCTTTTAGCCCCCCCCCCCCCAGTTTTTTAAAGGTTCAAAATAGCCCCGTCTTTGTAGGGTTAAAGAGTATGGGTTCCCGTAGGAAAATAATTATTTTCGATTGGAATTCTAAAAAAATATTTCTGGGGAAAAGTAATATTGACTTCCTTCCGCTACAGACAATGCTGGATCCCCTGGTCCGATATTACGTATAGCACAAAGAAACAAGAAAATCTGACAATACTGACCTAGTAAAAATAACAATACCAATTGAACGAAATTGAACGATCCCCACCTTTCCCCAATTTCTGAAATACCCCCTTTTTCGTGCAGATTTGTTTTGATGAAAGGTTATCATGGGAAGAACATATTAATACTATTCATAAAAAAGCAAGTAACGGATTATATATGCTGAAATCTTTAAGAAATATAGTAAATGAATATGAAATGAAATTGGTTTATAATTCACTAGTATTGTCTCACTTAAATTATTGTGATGTAGTATGGGGTAGATGTGGAAGTACACAGAAAAACAAATTACAAAAAATTCAGAATAGAGCAGCTCGAATAATTAATAGGTCCTCTTGGTATTCCTCATCAGATGAAAATTTAACAAGACTAAATTGGAATACACTTGACGATAATAGAACAAAGAATGTAGCAATTATGATGTATAAGATTGTCTCAAAACAAGCTCCTGAGTATTTAGTAGAAAGGTTTATATTTGCTGACCATACATACAATACACGTTCAAGTCTGTATAATGTGAAAACAATAAGACCAAAGACTGAGACTATGAAAAGATCTTTTAAATATAGAGGGGCCTTAACATGGAATAACTTGCCACATGAAGTACAAGGTGCTAAATCGTTAAATATTTTTAAGGCAAAGCTGACGTAATACGAAATAAGTGTGTGGGGAGGGGCTAACTTATTAGTTTAAGAGAGCTTTGTTGTTGTTTGTTTTTAAGGTTTTATAGTTGTATACAATTTTTATCTTCATAATTTCAACCTATTTATCTTTGTTATTTATGTTATATTACTCCTACGCAATATGTTTTAAATGTCTATTCGTTTGCAATATGATCTTTGCAATACGTTATCAGTTTTTGTCCCTTTAAAAACAAAAACAATTATTATATGTAGTATTTAACTGATCCATATTCATAATGCTCTTAAGTATTTATTATTATTCCATACTTCATTTTACTTCTACTTAATATGGAATACGCATTTGTCTTAATTTCACAATTATTACACATTCTACATTATGTGTGTTTTCTTTTGTTTATTGTTTTAAAGTTTGATTATTTAATATTTAACATGAATACATAATATGTTTTTAACTTATTTATAATCTTGTTAAAAACCGTCTTTTTGTTTTTACTTTATATATATATAAATATGCAAACAGATTATGATGATCATATATGTAGCTTATTTAATTGTTTATCTTTTGGGTCTACCAATATAGTTCTAATTAAGTAAAGTGTTTTTAGCTTATTTCCTATTATTGTCGTGTTATGGTTGTGAATCTGTCAGTGTTATATTAATTTTGTATATATGTCATGATTATGTTGTTTTTTATCGACACGGCCCTGATTGAAACCAGTCTGCGAACTGTTTCGGGCTTTTACCGTGTATAAATAAAATAAACTCAAACTCAACTCAACAGTTTTTACATGTGATAAACGCAGTTCAGCGTGTGATATTTCCGCTATTGTTTACATCTTCTTCTGAAAGCAATAATCCATTGTACCTGCAGCATGTGTGTCGATCTGTAATTGATACCTATTCATCAGGGGGGGGGGGTGATCTATTCATTCATCCCCCCTGATGAATAGGTATTACGTAAAGATCGACACCCATGACCTGCAGTGTACATGCCTCTGAAGATGTTGCATTATATCGATGAGACTTTGATCTAGATTTCCTCCAACGCTTTACACCAGGTATCTCGCTGACGAAATAACCCAGTCTGCTTGATGCTGATGACTGTCGCCTAAGATCCGCAACATCTGTACTAGGGACATCAACCTGTCACAGAAAAGAACACAATCATGGAACTTGTTTAAAGAAATTATTGGTTTACGCCATAGTGAAGAAATGTGTATAAACTGTTCCATATTGAACGAAAGGTTAGTATTGGAATGACTCATTCAAATATGTGAAGCGTACGTGAAATGAACCCCATAGGAAATGCGTGAATTTTTTTTTTTTTTATAAATATTTTTTAAAATACTGATTATGATGTGTTTAACCCTCTGATGAAAGGTGTTGATAACGAATTATAGACCGTGGGCTCCTATATCTCCCATGACAATGCTTAAAATCCATTTTCTTGATTAAAACGTAAATATAGGCCCATCGATGGGCACAATGTCTTGCTTGAATAATGTAGCGATCATTAATAATACTGCTTGCTGTATTGATCTCATTATAAAGAAAACTAATTTTGAAATTCCAGCTTTTCAGAAGAAATCTTGAATGCTAAAATCGCAGTTTAAAAACACCTCTTAATTTTGCATTTCGTAAAATATTTTGCCTCATTTGAGTATATAAACGAGATTTTGACAAGAAACAAAAAAGTGGCATGAAATAGGTCGAAAATTGTCTCTGTCCCAAAGGAAAGTAATGAGAAGTCAAGGGAAAGGTGATGAACAGTTTTAAAATACAGAGAAAATGGAGGGAAGAAGGGTAAAGGAAAAGGAAAAGGAAAGTACGCTGAATGTTTCAGTTTGTGGCATAGAAAGAGAGAGAGAGAGAAATGGGTTGGACCTATTCGTTAATTTTGATTTTGTTTTTCAACTTGCTTTGTGCTACAATTCAGATTTTCGTTTAGTTATGTCCTTGCAAAAGTGATTTCCTGTAATTTGGGTCAAAGTTAAGGAAAGATACGAGTGTGGGGAAGTAGAAACGTTTGTATTCTCTGTGTATTAATATACCGAGCCAGTGGCGTAGTTACGTGAGGCCGGGGGAGCACGTGCCCCCCCCCCACATCGAATGGCCACAAAAAATGTCGCATATGTTATGTAAACTGTTGCCCATAAAGTTGGAACTTTAATGATCAATTTAAAGAGTCATAGAGATTGATCAATATAGTTCTGAGAAGATTATGATCTTTTCCTTTCAATAATAAACCATATTGTCACTATCATTTCATGAAAAAGGGTTTGAACACAATGATTGTTTTATCTTTATGGTCTTTATGGGCAACAGTGTACATGTATGTCCGTTTTCCAATTTAGTTCATCGTCTTTTGTAACCCCGATGAATTTTGTAGATCAATGGGTGTTCCTTACAAAAAAGATAAGATAAAATGTTCTGCCATGCATTTAAGTTGTTGTTTATTGTTGAAATAAGGGCATTAGGTTTGAAATGAGAATAGCATAGGTTAAAAACGTCCGCAAATAACAAAAAAGATACAAATATAATGAACAATAAACATTGCCCCAAAATCTCAACACCTTCATATTTACTTTATAATGATGGACAAATCATCCCCTATGTTGTTTCAGATACCATACAATTGCCTATTTTTACAATAACTGTACCCTTCTAAGACTCATGGTACTTTGTAAAATGTACATTGCATAAAGTTGTACATTGCGTAAAGATGTACATAACGTAAAGATGTAAATGGAAAACATATTGTTTCTCGGGTTTGGGGTGAAGAATCGATACGAGATGGGGGGGGGGGGGTATAATAGATGTATGTTGAGAAGTTCGATCTGACATTATGGAATTAACGATGAGAGTCATTAAACTTCAGTAAAACGTATAGGAGATACAATGAACTGATCTTAGATCATATTGACATGTTGATTGTGGGAGCAGTGGTTATATAATGAACCAGTTGGTTCATGATTTAAAGTGTTACAGAACAAAAGAGAATAAAACGAGATAGCAGAACGGTCACAAACCAGTCCTGAATTACACAACTCTTGTAGAAAAATCTGTGTTTTATTCAGGGGAGCACCTGACCACCCTGATTATGTTATCGACGACATTATAGTGGTGGATCCATGGTTGTCAGAAAGGAGGGGATTTTTTCCCCGGGCATATGATCCAGTAATCTTAATGAGTCTTCTAAATTGTCCCGTCGGAATGAGTGAGAGGGCGGTGTGTGTGTGTGTGTGTGGGGGGGGGGGGTGTGATCCACATACTGGATGTCAAGTTTTAATCTCTTATAATAGTAACATTGTATAATTTGTATTGGATAAACAGTTGCTGACATTACACTACTTTAAAATATTTATAAACATTACATCATGATAAAGGTGCCATCCTCATTCATTAACAAAAGCAATACGTTATTCTGACTTTTGATTGAAATAGTGCTTAGAAAATCTAATTTTAAATAATATTAAAATGTGAAAACAAATAGACATGGAACACTTTGCAGTTTTCGAAGGATTACAGAAATAATACAAACGGGGACGAAGAGATTCGATTTTTCATTTTTGTTAGGTTATTAAATTAAAATACTATATAATAATTCACTATCCATCTTATAATCTTCAATCTGGTTTTGTATTATGACAGAAAGCTCACGTTTATCATCCACATCTTGAAACGTTCAATTTTTCCAACCTGCTTCCTCTTAACGGTGTACCAATAGGGAGAGTTAAATTGTGCACGTGCATTTGACTATACAGGAAAGAGTACACCTCCAGTATAATGAAACATGCAGTAATTTGCTAAGAGTCCTACAAATCAAATGATCAAATCAATACCTTTGCATTGTGGTGTGCACCTTTGCGTGATGCAGAGGGACGTCTACTGAGATCCCAAGAGTGGATGTAAAGAGTCTTAATCTGTCATGATAATAACGTTATGTTGAATGAAAAATAACTAACATTCCATTAAAACTATATTCAATATTCAATAATCTGTTTAAATCAATGTCAATATCGTTGCCAAAATGACAAAATCTTAACACAATCACATTTATTTTGTAATGAGGAACACGTCTTGACACTTGAAATAAGCACTAATTTTAATAGTTCCTGGATTATTTTTGAGACCGATATAATGATGTTTATTTATTACTGATAAGTAATGACAGAGGTAATCAATAGGCTTTGACAGATCCAATCGGGACTGTGGCATGAGGGATAAAATTGAATGATATTTTCTAGATCATATTGACCGTTTTACTGGGGGAGCAGTGGTTAAATATTAATGAAGAAACTTGGCTAAGGATCTAAATTCTTAAAGAACAAAAGAGAATAAAACAGGAAGGCAGAACGGTCGCAAACCAGTCCTCAATCACACTACTCTTGAAGAAAAACCTGTGCTTTTATTCGCGGGGGAATCTGAACAACCTGGTAATGTTATCTACGACTTAACATATTTTTAAAACATTACATCATGATACAGTTGCAATCCTCATTCATTTACAAAAGCAATACCTTATTCTGACATTTGACTGAAATAATACTTTGGAACCCTAATTTTACATAACATTAAAGTGTGAAAAACTATTGAACATGGAAAACTTTGCGTTTTCCAAAAGCATACAGATATAATATTAACGGAAAGTAAGTGATGCGATTGATAATTTTATAGGTTTTAAAAGGGAATTCCACAATGATATTAACTGGTTTTAATAGAAGCAGAAAAATAATCATGTCAATAAAAGTTTAAGCAAAACCTGATGAAGAAAAAAAAAAGTTATGACATTTTGAAAGTGCGATCAATCAAACACGAATCGGCAACTCTGTGACGTATCTGGCGAGCTCTCCTCTCATTTGCCTTGTACTATATAACTACCAAAAAAAAATTCCCGTTAAGAAATATTTCAATCATGCATTCACCCTAAACCTTAGAAAATGAAAGTTAATTACATTTTATATACAGAGCACATTGGAAAGGAGCTCGCAAGATACGTCACATCGTTATTAATTTGTGTTGTACTGATGACAACTTCAACAATTCATAACTTTCCTTTTTTTTCATTGGATATTGTTCAAACTTTCAAAAATGTTTTTTTTCTTCCGTTTTTATTAAAACCAACTTCCCCTTTAGATTGAATATGTAGTCTGATCAGCAATTCACAATTGAAATTGCCGTCTCTTCATCAGCGATTACGTAGCACTCCAAATTGTCATATGAAATGAAAAATATGGTACACATTATTCACTATCAATGTAATAATCTTCACTCTACTTTTTGTATTTTGACAGAAAGTTCAACTTTCACTTCCACTTCCTGAAACGTTTAACTTTTCCTACCTGCTTCCTCTTAACGGTGTACTATTTGGGATAATAAAATCCTCCACTTGCGTTTGACTAATATTTGGGAAAGCGTACGCTGCAAGTATGACAAAACATGTAGGCATTTGCTAAGAGTCCTAAAAAAAATATGATCAAATCAATACCTTTGCGGATGATGCCATCGATGACGATGTTGAGTAGAAGTCATCGTGAAGAGAAACCTCGACTTGACCACCTCCGAGTTTCAGGCTCTTCAAATGAGGCATCTTACAGATGAACTGAGCGAAATCACGTGATGCAGAGGGCTGATTGCTGAGATCCTCTTTCTCGAAGGTAAGAGTCTCAATCTGTTATGACAGTAACATTATGCTGAATGAATAATAACTAACAACCCACTAAAACTATATTCAATATTCAATAATCAGTATAAAATCAATGTTACTATCGTTGCCACAATGTAAAAATGTTAACACAATCACATTTATTTTGTAATGAGGTACAAGTCTTGACACCTGAAATAAGCACAATTTCAATAGTTCGTGGATTCCTTTTGAGACCGATATACAAATAGATTACCTATTACGTGGCCCTACTCCTACCTTCTCATCCTTTTTTGTGTTTCATCACATGCTTTTTTCTTTTCTTTTCTTGTCATCTATTTTATTTTTATATCGTTCATTATACGCTTGTACAAAATAATATTGGACCATCTCCGGCGTGCTGTCTGGTTTTCGCGTGTTTGTTCCCGGAGAGTCTCCGGACGCGCGGGTTCGGCTGCCTATGCCGGATCTTTGTGTTTCTTTTGTCGGGGCCTGTTCGGTGTGCAATATTTTATGTTGCTTGTTGCTAGGTCGAACAAACCTTGAGCTTGCTCGACCTGGCAGCGGCAGACTGATGTACGCTGAATGGGCCTTGGCGGGGGAGACCCGAGGATCTGGCGCGGTCGGGTTGGTTCGCGCGTCTCTGGTCTCTCTGGGAGCAGACTTTGATGCACGTTGTTGATGGTCCATTATTTAATTTATACTGGGAATCTCGCTCAACAAGCCTAGCTTTTCTGAGATTCCCCCTTTTCCCCTCTCAGTTAAATCAAGCAATATAAAATATTTGTCTCATTCTCAAACTTAAATGTACTCTGTAAACTTATTTGATTACGAACATTCTTGTCAGTTTTTCATTACTTGTATAATTCATTTGTTCTATTATATATTGTATTATTGTATGGTTTATTTATGTCATTTAATTTGTGGATATTTGAGTGGAAAATAAATAAATCAAATCAAATCAAATCAAAAATGGTGTTTAATCATAACTTACTGGTATTGAAAGAGGTGGTCGATAGGTGTTTAATGGATCCAATCGGGACTGTGGCATTACGGATAAAGAAAATAATAATATTTACTAGATCATTTTGAACTGTTAACAGAGGACCTCTTTCTATGACAATCAAGGATCCACCACTATAACGTCGTCGATAACATAATCAGCGTGTTGATGTTTTCCTCCGATTGAATGCACACGTTTTCCTTCAAGGGTAGTCTGTTTAAGGACTGGTTTGCGATCGTTCTGCCTTTTTTGATTTAATCAGCTATAGTTCTATAAGACTTTAGATCATGAGCAAAGTTCTTCTTTTATATTTACCCACTACTCCCTCTATTAACAGTTCAAAATGATCTAGAAAATATTATAATTTTTTTCCTCCCGGTCGTGTGATTCGGTAACTGAGTGAGGGGGTGGGACGATGACCCGCATACTGGGTGTTAAGTCTTCATCTGTTATAATAGTGCCATTATGTTGGTCTTGTTGGATATACAATTGCTGACATTACACAATTAAACATTACATCATGCTACACTGCAAAAACCAGGGTGTTAAATTTCAAACACAAGCACGGAATAGAAAAAACCAACACCCTTGGTGTTAATTTTACGCCTGTTCACGTCCGTTCAACACCAACAGAGTGTCGAAATATATAATTACAGATAGATGTTCCGAGTCTTGGTGTTATGGTATTGAACTTGCGCATGCGCATAAGTTAGTGGATTCGAGCAAAATCATTGGACGACAGTTGTCATATGATATGACGTCGTATCGTGCATGCACATGCGCGAGCTAGCTGTCAAGAATCTCTTCGGGATATCGTGGTTATGGAATTTTTAGTCAAGGTCTGAATATCCTATTTCATCATCTCCCCGTTATTAAATGCCTAAAATCCCTCAGTTTTAGGGGGCTCGGCCCCCTGGACCTCACCAAGGGCCCTAAGGCGGGCCGGCCTCTGGATGTTCACCTGATCGTAATTTAATGCCTAAAACCCCTGAGCTTCTGGGAGCTCCGCCCTGGACCTAACTCTTATTAGTGACCTGTATGCTAGTGTCACATAAGGTATCAAAATATGCTTAGCTGACTGTAATTAAATGTCTTAAACCACTGAGCTTCCAGGGGGCTCTGCCCCCTGGACTCCACGCCAATTTATGTTCCACTTGCTTCGCTCTACTTTATCGTAAATACTTTACTCCCCCCCCCCCCACTTTGAAAAACGTTCCATGGGGCCTGCATGTAGTATGCAAGAGTGGTGGTGATGCGGATTTTTTTTCTGCCCCATCCCCCCAAAGACGTTTTTGCTCATTACGCCACTGCTCCCTCGTCCCTCGTATTTCGTCCCCCCGGTCGTGAAAAGAAATCGCCGCCCCTGCCTGAGTGCATGTGAAGTAAGCGGGAGTGTGATGATGATGATTGTGTGGAAGTTTGGGTGTGTGTGTGTGTGCGTGTGTGTGTTAACCTACGTTACCCCTGTCATTTCTATATATGATATTGTTCATCGTCATTTTTATGTTGTTTTTAAACGGAGCCTAGGCCTGTTGTAAACCAGCCTATTTTAATGTTTTTATCAATGTTCTGTAATGATTATGTAGCTGAAGATAGAAGAGATTTTGTTCTCCCCCGGGCATAAGATCCGGTAATCTTACTGACCCTACTCGTTTGCACGTCGGAATGAGTGAGAGTCTTAATCTGTTAATATGTTACAATAGTAACATTGTATTCGATAAACAATAGCTGACATTACACTACTTAAATATATTTTTTAAACAATACACCATGATACAGTTGCCCTCCTATTTCTTTACAAAAGTAATACGTTATTCTTACAATTGATTGAAATAGTACTTTGAAAATGTGATTTTCCTAAAATTTGTGATTAAATCAATACCTTTGCTGATGATGCCAGCGACGATGATGTTGAGTAGAAGTCATCGTGACACTGACCGTCGAGTGTCAGTTTCTTCAGATGAACTGAGCGAGATCACGTGATGCTTGGTTATCCAGTGGCGGATCAAGATAATCTAGCGGAAGGCACTAGCCTGAACATTTGTGACAAGCAAAAACAACAACAAAAGGGGTGAGGGGTCATTACATTTCTCAGATGCCTTCATTCTTTTAAATTATCTGACCAGCAACTAAAAGTACCTCTTTATAATGTGATGTACTGAGTTTATGATTCTATTTACTTGAAGTTTATTTTGTTGTTTTTAGCACCTCTAAATATTCGATAAATAATGAGGAGAGAAAAAGCAAGGCTTCTCACATTTAAGTGCATTTGTGGGAGGGGGGAATGCATGATTACGGACCCATTATTATGTTGTATAATTATGCCAGATTGGGTTTTTCCGAAGGAGGGGGGGGGGGGGCATTTGCCCCTACTCTTTATCGACCATTATTTATCCCGTGAGGTGATCATGTGGTGCTAGCGGATATCCTTGCTGACACATAGCGTCTTGTAACCTCTGGAAAATGGGCTGTTTTAATCCAATAATTAATATTATAATTTATCATTATTATCTGATATCACATCTCCGATCAATAGAGTCTCAATCTTTCATGCAAACTATTATCAGATTAATTTAGGGAAAACAAAATTAAAGGCCCTCGATAAAGGCCCTCGATCACAAAGGCGTGATAGCTCAGTTGCTAGAGCAGTGGTCTCGTAATCCGGCGACCCGGGTTCGAAACCAAGTCGATGCGCTAATGCCCTTCGGTAAGGCATTACTCCTAATAACCAGGTCCTTCGGAGAGGACCTAAAGCCGTCGGTCCTCTGGTTGCTTACTAACAAAGCTTTCTTAGGAGTCAGGTAAAATAACCACCACTAAACCGAAACCGATGTATGTTGTTCTATTGATTATCACCAGTTTAACCTGGCTGCATTGATACAATGATATGCATAAAGTTCACATTTCAACAGTCCCTCCAAGATATAGTTTTGAAAGAACTAATAGAAGTGATCAATTCTTGTTCATCATCAAAGCCGTCCATTGCCATGAAGTATAGTTTTGAAAAATATTATGTTTACTATCAATCTTTTAAAGATTGTCCGTTTTTGTATTATGACAGAAAGTTCACTTTTCGCATCCACTTCCTGAAACGATCAACTTTTCAAACCTGCTTCCTCTTAACGGTGTACAAATAGGCAGAGTAAAATTGTACACTTGCGTTTGCCGATATAGGAAAAAGTACACCTCCAGTAAAACAAAACATGTAGTAATTTGCTAAGTGCCCTAAAATATATGATCAAATCAATACCTTTGCAGATGATGCCATCGACGATGATGTTGAGTAGAAGTCATCGTGGTACTGACCGCCGAGTGTCGGGTTCTTCAAATGAGGCATTTTACAGATGAACTGAGCGAGATCACGTGATGCAGAGGGACGCTTACTGAGATCCTCAAACTTGATGGTAAGAGTCTCAATCTGTTATGATAGTAACATGTCAAATGAATAATGACCAACACCCACTAAGACTACATTCAATATTCAGCAATATGTTTAAAATCATATTAATATCGCTACCATAATGAAAAACTCTTAACACAATCATATTTATATATAAGTCGTTGTTATTCTTACACTTGATTGAAATAGTACTTTGGAAATGTGATTTTACATAACATTTAAGTGTAAAAACTAATAAATATTGAACACTTTGCAGTTCCCAAAGGGATACAGAAATAACACAAACGTGATTGAAGAGATCCGATTTTACATTTTTTATTTTGTGTAACTTTTTAATGATTGTATTTAGTCTCATCAGTATTCACAAATAAACACGCTGACTCTCCATCAGCAAATCCGTAGCACTCCGAGTTGTCATATGAAATGAAAAATATGGTATATATTATTCACTATCAATCTTTTTTTTTTTTAAATCTATTTTTGTATTATGACAGAAAGTTAGCTTTTCGCATCCACTTCCTGAAACGTTCAACTCTTCTTGCTGCTTCCTCTTAACGGTGTACAAATAGGGAGAGTAAAGTTGTACACTTGCGTGTGACTATGTAGGAGAGAGTACATCTCCAGTATAACAAAACATGTAGTGAATTGTTACGAGTCCTAAAATTTGTGATCAAATCAATACCTTTGCTGATGATGCCAGCGACGATGACGTTGAGTAGAAGTCATCGTGACACGGACCGTCGAGTGTCAGTTTCTTCAGATGAGGCATCTTACAGATGAACTGAGCGAGATCACGTGATGCAGAGGGACGTTCACTGAGATCATTACACGTGATGTTAAGGGTCTCAATCTGTTATGATAGTAATCATATTTTAAATAAATAATTGGCAAGAACCCATTAAAACTATATATAAAAAATCAACAATATGTTTGAAATTATATTGATATCGTTGCCACAATGAAAAACTATTGAGACCATCACATTTATTGTGTTTATGATATAGAAGTATTGACACCTGAAATTAGTTCTTATTTCAATAGTTCCTGTATTCTTTTGGGACCAATATAATGGTGTTTATTCATAACTGATAGGTAATGACAGAGATGATCAATGGGTATTTGATTGATTCAATCGGGACTGTGGGCATTACGGATAAAGAAAATGATAAAATGTTCTAGATCATATTGACTTGTTGCCTGAGGGAGTAATGGGTAAATATGAATGAAGGACTTGACTCGTGATCAAAAGCCTAAGTCGCCGCTAAATATTCCTCTAAAATTGGAGGAAAAAAAAATAGAAAAAAAAATCACGACTTGGGCCCCCCTCCTGCCACCGGCTGGATCCACCCCTGCCTGAACACCCTGGCTATGTTATCGACGAAATTATAGCGGTGGATCCATGATTGTCAGAGAAGATGGCATTTTTTTCCAGGACATATGATCCGGTAATTTTACTGTCCCTACTACATTTTCACTTCGGAAAAAGTAAGCGAGCAGGGGGGGGGGGGGGGGAGGTTGGAGGGGGAAGGGGGTAGGGGGAGGGGGTAATACACATACTGGAGGTGAAGTATTGATATGTTATAATAGTAACATTGTATTGGATATTGGATAAACAATTGCTGACAATACACTCTACATACAAATATTGTTACACTTTACATCGTGATACAGTTGACATCCTCATTCATTAACAGAAGCAATACGTTATTCTGACATTTGATTGAAAAAGAACTTTAAAAATCTAATTTTACATTACACAAACGTGTGAAAACACATTAATATGGAACACGTTGCAGTTTCCAAAGTGATACAGAAATAACACGAAACGGGTTGAAGAGATTTGATTTTACATTTTTGTAGGTGTTTTTCATTATGCTATTTAGTCTCATCAGTATTCACAACTGAAATTAGCCTTCAAATCCAATTGACATTTTGGTCCAGATACTTGGAATTCACTCCCTACTGCAATTCGAAATCTGAAGTCGACATACTCTTTCAAAATAGCTGTAAAGACTATGCTCCTAGCCCATCAGGCCCGTCGGAAAGATTTTTAAATTAGTACGGTTTCAGTGGGGGTCGGGTTCGAAGGGGCAGAGCCCCTCGTTGGGGGCAAAGCCCCCCTTGGAGGTTTTGCATTTTGAAAAATGATATGACTATTTCCATGGTAAGTTGATACAAGTGGAAATTCAGATGAAAATGTTTTATACCTTATTTGTGACACTGGCAGGTCACTAATTGGTTTGCGTTTGACTATATAGGAAAGAGTACCTCCAGTATAAACAAAACATGTAGTGATTTGCTAAGAGTCCTAAAATATATGATCACATCAATACCTTTGCAGATGATGTTGAGTAGAAGTCATCGTGATACTGACCTTCGAGTGATAGCTTCTTCAGATGAGACATCTTACAGATGAACTGAGCGAGACCACGTGATGCACATGGATGTTCACTGAGACCCCAAGAGTGGAAGTAAAGAGTCTCAATCTGTTATGGTAGTAACATTATGTTGAATGAATAATTACCAACACCCACTAAAACTACATTCAATATTAGGCAATGTTTAAAATCATATTAATATCGTTGCCACGATGAACAAATTCTTAACCCTAATAAGGACGGGGGGCCATTATGGCCCCCCCCCCCCCTCCACGATTTTTCTGATTGTTCGAGAACGTATATGGATGGCGCCTCGCCGCTCGCTGACTTTTTTCTTTAGAGTCTTGCGCATCTTTAAAAAAAAAAAAAAAAAAATCGGACCTACATTTACAAGGTCACGTGACCTTTTGTATTTGCATGTCAGCCCGAAAATCGCTCATTTTTGTGATTTGTGTACAAAACATATGGAAATGTCATTTTTCCTAAAAAATAGATCAAACATTGGTTATTGGGTCTTGTTTAAAGTTTAGATGGTTGTTTTGGGAGTCAAAATAGATGAATTGTAGGAAGAAATTAAAAGAACAAAAAAAGAATAACATACATAAGTTAAAAAAACAATGAAATACATAAGAAATTATCAAAACAAGAGATAACATAAGGAATAAGCTGGCTCTTCCAATTTTTTTTTGTCGTATTATTGTTCCAAATGGTCTAATGAATATATGTAGTGAAAAGGAATGCTTAAGTATGAATAATATATGATTTATGGGTAAAAATGTGATTTTATGACGTTATTTGCATAAATTACCATAAATAAGCAAATGAGTGATTTTTTTCCCAAAAAATTGAAATTATCATATTGTTCTATACACTTCACTTGACATGCGTGCAAATTTTCGTTTCACTGCCGAGATCTTAGGGGGGGGGGGGGGGTTCATAATCGCCCCCCGGCCGTAATAAGACTTCAAATAGCCCGGCCTTATTAGGGTTAACACAATAACATTTATTTTGTAATGAGGTACAAGTCTTGACACCGGAATTTAGCTCTAATTTCAATAATTCCTGGATTCTTTTGAGACCGATATAATGGTGTTTATTCATAACTGATAGGTAATGACAGAGATGATATGTTTTGATTGATCCAATCGGGACTGTGGGCATTACGGATAAAGACAATGGTTATATTTTCTAGATCATATTGACCTGTTGACTGAGGGAGTAGTGGGTAAATATGAATGAAGGACTTGACTCATGTTCTAAAGTCTTACAGAACAAAGGAGAATAAAACAAGAAGTCAGGACGGTCGCAAACCAGTCCTCAAACAGACTACTCTTGAAGGAAAACGTGTACGTTTAATTTGCGGGAATCTGAACACCCTGATTGTGTTATTGACAAAATGATATAGCGATGGGACCATGATTGTCAGAAAGGAGGGGATTTCCCCCGCCCCTCCCCCCCCGCCCCCCCGGCATATGATCCTGTAATCTTACTGACCCTATATACTCGTTTGTACGTCGGAACGAGTGAGCGGTGGGTGATCTACAACATTAATGTCAAGTATTAATCTGTTACAATAGTAACATTGTATTGGGTAAACGATAGCAGGCACTACCCTACTTAAAGTTTTTTGTTTAAACATTATGCTAGGAGTCCACTGGGCCAGCGCCAGTTGGTGCCAGTTTGCGCCAATGCAATTTACTGTGGCGCCTAGTGTCGCCAATAAGGTGCCTAGTGGCGTGTAGTGGCTCAAACTGCCTCCCAACTGGCTCGTGGTGGCCCGTAACGGCACCAAATTTGAATGTAGCGGCAAGAAAATTTCAAAATGTTTGAAATTTTCGTTGCGCCACTTGCATCGAGCAATCAGCGCCAAGTGTCCGCCAAGTGGCACCAAATGGCGCGAACATATCGCCCTTTGGCGCAAACAATCCACCTATTGGAATCCACTGCAACGTAATGGCGCGCGCCAGGTTGCGCCAATGAGATTTCCAGCCACATGGCGCCACATGGCGCCAAGTGGCGCGCCAAATGTGCAGTGGCGCGAGCCAAACGGCACCCGATTGGTGACTACTTCGCGCCAAATGCCACCTGGTTGCCCGCCATTCGGCGCCACTTGCCGCCTATCAAAATTGTAAATATTTAGTAGAGATGTTGTTCATACAGCAGCTGAGGAGGGTTTGAACCAGTATGTGTGTGTGTATTGGGTTTTTACAGACGTGTATCAATCAGATCTGATTATTTACGTCTGGGGACCGACCTTTAAACGTCACCATCCGAAAGACGTGACTCAGTTTCGAACCTGCGTCCTCGGCTGAATCAGTTTGTAACTTCCACTTTTAGCTGGATTACAGGCGCACGCCACAACGCCTAGTCAAACCAGGTAGCCGATGGCCGGTATTTATATAGTCGGCAAGTAGCGCCAAGCGGCGGCAAGTTCAAACCAATTTGGCGACCTTTGGCACAAACTAATCACCAAGTGGCGCAAAGTAGCCGTCTATTGGCGCGAATGGCGCCAACAGGGTGAATTTTGGAATCAAATGGCCGTGTAATGGCGCGAACTGGCGCAAACTGGCGCAAACTGGCGCAACATTTTGGAGCAAGCCGGGTGGCATTTGGCGCACGCCATATGGCACCCAGTTTATTCCACTTGGCGACACATGCCGAGCGGACATCAATTCGGCGCCACAGCAAGCCACTGCGCGCCAATCACATAATCTTTGGCGCGAACTGGCAGCAACTGGCGCTGGCCCAGTGGACTCCTAGCATCACATCATGATACAGTTGCCCTTTTGTTTACAAAAGCAATATGTTATTCTTACATATGATTAAAAAAGTACTTCTGATTTTACATAACATTTGAATGTAAAAACAAATAAATATGGAACACTTTGCAGTTTCCAAAGGGATACAGAGATAACACAAACGTGATTGAAGAGATCCGATTTTACATTATTTATTTTGTGTAACTTTTAAATGATTGTATTTAGTCTCATCAGTATTCACAAATAAAAACGCTAACTCTCCATCAGCAAATCCGTAGCACTCCAAATTGTCATATGAAATGAAAAATATGGTATATATTATTCACTATCAATCTTTTTTATTTTTTTTTAATCTGTTTTTGTATTATGACAGAAAGTTAGCTTTTCGCATCCACTTCCTGAAACGTCCAACTCTTCCTGCATGCTTCCTCTTAACGGTGTACAAATAGCGAGAGTAAGATTGTACACTTGCGTGTGACTATATAGGAAAATGTACACCTCCAGCATAACAAAACATGTAGCGATTTGTTACGAGTCCTAAAATTTATGATCAAATCAATACCTTCGCTGATGATGCCATCGATGACGATGTTGAGTAGAAGTCATCGTGACGCTGACCATGAAGTGTCAGTTCCTTTAGATGAGGCATCTTACAGAGGAACTGAGCGAGATCACGTGATGCACAGGGAAGTTCACTGAGACCCCAAGAGTGGAAGTAAAGAGTCTCAATCTGTTATGAAAGTAACATTATGTTGAATGAATAATTACCAACAAACATCAAAACTATATTCAAAATTCAGCGATATGTTTAAGATTGTATTAATATCGTTGCCACAATAAAAACAAATCTTAACACAAAAAATATTTATTTTGTAAGGCGAGGCGTCAAAAATATCGATACCAGCAGGCTGCCGCCTCACGTATTGGCGCATCGAGGCTGCAATTACGGCCGAAGCCTGGCTGGGGCAATTATTTTTCACTTATTAGCCCAGCCGGCTTGCGCCAGGCTGGGATCTGAGGCTCGGTTTCCATTCGAAAGGCGGCAGCCGGCGCATGCTTTTGTTCGGAGACCATTATGATGACATCATGAGTTAATTGAGGGTCCTACCGCCAGCGGTAGCCGGCTGAGCTAATTTAAAAAATGCAGCCAGGACGCGCAAGTGCAGTTAGCTGCCGCTGGCTGGTATATTTATTTTTGACGCCTCGCCTAATGAGGTTCAAGTCTTGACACTTGAAATTAGCACTAATTTTAATAGTTCCTGGATTCTTTTGAGAGTGATTTAATGGTGTTTATTCATAACTGGTAGGTGAAAACAGTGGTGACCAATAGGTTTTTGATTAATCAAATCGGGACAGTGGGCATGACGGTTAAAGAAAATGATCATATTTTCTAAATCATATTGACCTTTTGACTCAGAGATAGTGAAAAAAATATGAATGAAGGACATGGCTCATGATCTAAAGTCTTACAGAGCAAAAGAGAATAAAAAAAAAGGCAGATATGTCGCAAATCAGTCCCCAATCACACTACTCTTGAAGAAAAAACCTGTGCTTTATTCGGGGGAGAACCTGAACACCCTGATTATGTTATCGACGACATTATAGTGGTGGATACCTGATAGTCAGAAAGGAGGGATTTTTTTCCCGGGCATATGATCCAGTCATTTTACTGACCCTGCTACATATTCACGTTGGAATGGGTGAAGGTTAGGGGAGGTGGGGCGGGGGGGGGGGGGCGGGGGGGGGGGGGTTGATCCACGTACTGGATGCAAAGTCTTAATCTGATATAATAGTAACATTGTATTGGATAAACAACTGCTGACATTACACTACTGAAAAATATGTTAACGCTTTACATCATGATACAGTTGCCACCCACATTCATACTCATCAGTATTCACAAATGAAATATTTGTCTCTCCATCAGCAATTCTGTACCACTCCGAATTGACATATGAAATGAAAAATATGGTATATATTATTCACTATCAATGTTATAAGCTTTAGTCTGTTTTTTGTATTATGACAGAAAGTTCACGTTTCGCATCCACTTCCTGAAACGTTCAACTTTTCCTACCTGCTCCCTCTTAACGGTGTACAAATAGGGAGAGTAAAATTGTACACTTGCGTGTGACTATATAGGAAAGAGTACACCTCCAGTATAACAAAACATGTTAAACAGCAGTTCTCCGTTAGATTTGTACAAGATAGGTAACTATTCTTTAGTTCAGATTTGCAGACTTAACAGAACTAGAGGAGGAGTTGCAATTTATGTGAAAAATGGTATTGACTATGTCTTCCGTAAGGATATGTCTTTCTGTTCACCAGAAATTGAAGTAATTTGTATTGAAGTGAAGGGGAAAAAATCTAGGATAATTGGATGTGTCTACAGACCACCTAATACTGAAATATCATCTTTCAATGATAAACTGAAGACAAGGTTGGATGTATTTGAAAAAGAAAAAAAAGAAGTATATCTGATGGGTGATTACAATATTAATTTGCTTAATTATTATTCACATAATGAGACAAATGAGTTTTTGGAAACCATGTTCACATGTAACATGTATCCAATTTTTTCCAAACCTACACGAATTACTTCAGGATCTTGTACTCTAATTGACAATATCTTCTTGAATTCTTTTCATGAAAATATTAAATCTGGTTTGTTATTTACTGATTTATCGGATCACTTCCCAATATACTGTTTGATTAAAGTAAAGACAAAAGAACAAGAGCACATAGTAAATAACAATGTTAAAGTTAAAAGGAGATTGATAACTGATGACAGAATGTACAAAATCAAAATAAGATTATTACAGATCGATTGGTCTGCCATGTATACAAATTGTGATGCAAATGCTAGTTTTGATTACTTTGCAAAGAAATCTACTACTTTGTATAATGACTGTTTTCCTTTAGTAAATGAAAACAAAACTAGGTAAACTCCGTAAACCATGGATTGCAAACGGTATATTTAATTCTGTAAAAAAGAAAAATTTTCTTTATAAGGCATACCTACACAAACCAAATCAGAATTCCTCAATGAAATATACTGTGTTTAAAAATAAACTAACATCTGTTATAAGAAGTACTTAAAAACAATATTTTTATGATATCTTTCAAAAATATCAAGGAAATATGAAAAAGACCTGGAATGAAATTAATATTATACTTGGTAATAAGAAGCAAAATGTTATTCCATGTAAAATGTTCTCTGGTAAAAATAAATATTCTTCGCGTGAACAGATTGTTAAGGAATTTAATTCATATTTTGCCAGTATTGGTAAAAAAAAGTGTCAGATTCCATTCCATGTTTACATAAGAACTATGAAAAATATCTCAGTTCACAACATATTGCCTCCATGTTTTTAAAGCCAACTTCTGTCTCTGAATTAACAAAGATTTGTGCTTCATTTAATCTATCTAAAGCAAGTGGTTGTGATGACATATCCCCTCGGGTAGTAAAAGAAGCAATATTTTTTTGTGTGGAACCATAATGTGACATATTCAACAAATCATTAACCACTGGTGTGTTTCCAGATGCTTTTAAAGTAGCAAAAGTAGTGCCGTTATATAAGAAAAACTGTAAACAAAATATAGATAATTATAGACCTGTTGCAATTTTACCTATATTTTCTAAATTGTTGGAAAGAATAATGTATAATAGATTGTATAGTTTTCTTACTAAATATGAGATATTAATTAATGAACAATTTGGATTTAGGAAAGGTCATTCGACCGCTCATGGTGTCTTGAATATGTCAGATTATGTTATAAATGCATTGGATAATGGTAATTTTTGTTTAGGGTTATTTATGGATCTTTCAAAAGCATTTGACACCATCGACCACGACATTCTTCTTGATAAATTATTTTATAATGGCGTGAGAGGAGTAACCTTTAATTGGTTCAGATCATATTTGATTGGTAGAAAACAATATGTGGTGGTCGATGGTGTCGAGTCTAAGTTCAAAGAACTATTATGTGGGGGTACCGCCAGGATTTGTACTGGGACCTCTCCTGTTCTTGTTGTATGTTAATGATGTTGTTAACAGTTCTAGTGTCCTTCGGTTTTCATTATTCGCCGATGACACCGTGGCTGGCATATCCCATAGAAATGCACATAGACCGATTTCGCTGGTCAATGAAGAATAAAGTAAATTGCTTTTATGGTTTCAAAGTAATAAATTACTTCTCAATCAAGAGAAAACAAACTACATCATATTTCGTTGAAAGAACAGGAGAGTTCCCAGAGACATTAATGAAATTTCTGTTAACAACATAGTCCTTCAACGTGTACATTCACTATCCTTTCTTGGTGTTACTGTAGACGAATTCCTGGACTGGAAGACCCACATTAAAAATGTAACTTTGAAAGTATCTAGAAGCATTGGGGTATTATCAAAATTAAAATCTACCATTCCCCAAAATGTGCTATTGTTATTATACAACTCAATAGTATTACCCCATCTGTCTTACTGCAATATAGTGTGGGGAAATTCATATTCGTCTCATCTAAACAAAATGAAAATACTTCAAAAGAGGGCAATCCGAATTTTAACATATTCAACGTATAATTCTCATACAACACTATTATTTAGCAGAATGAAGGTTCTTCTTGTCCAGGAACTAATATCACTTAAAGATGAAGTTGAGTTCTGGTCTTGCGATTGCATTGTGAAAGAAACGGTGTGGAACTGACCAGAAAAGGTTGATCATCTAGCATATAAGAATTTGTGTGTATTGCAAGGTTCTGGTATCATCAAAATGATAAGAAATTTGGCCAAGTCTCGGTAAAGTTACAAACACTTGCACAGAAAGATGTGTATGGGACTACACGAACACGTGGCGTAAAAAGCCGGCCCCCGATTTTTACGATGTTACATGCATATTTAGAATATGAAGGCATTTGAAGAGCCATGATTTTCAGGGAACATGTCTTAACTAATGTTCTTCCACACTTGCATAATAAGAATGAGTAATGCTCACAAATTATTTTTCACCTCTTCCCAGAACTCAACCTTCTCTTTAATACTTGTATATTTATGTATAATTTCCACACTGGTAGTCTTCCGCACGTTTTTCAAAACATGTTTATTAGTAATTCATCTGTTCATTCACATAACACAAGGCAAAATTTGTTATTACACAAACCCCCTGTACGTACAACCCATGCATTAAAATCATTTCGAAATGTGGGAATAAGCAAATGGAATGATTTAAACGAGGACATACGATCAAGTTCAACTTTGTCTAGATTTAAAGTTTTGTGCAAAAGGGAACTATTTATTAATTTGTAAAACTGGGTAGGACTATAAGTTTTCATCTCATGTTTCGCATTTTTCATGTGCTTCCTCTTCTTTCTTTTTTCTTTTTTAATATTCTACTCTCTTCTACTATCTTCTTCTTCTCTCTCTCTCTCTCTCTCTCTCTTATAATATGCTTTAAAGTGCATTGCATTGTGTGTGAGTGAGTATGGTTGAGTGTGTTTCCAAGATATTTTTAATTGTTTTGTAATAAGTATGCATATATATAAATGTCTCTTTTGTTTTGTTTGTTATAATATGTTTTTACTATATTCTATTTAATTGTATGTTAATGGGCCCCATTTACAAGATTTGTTTTCTCAGGGGTCCATGGCCTGTCATCATATTAGAATTGTACCGGTACCAGTGTGATTGTAAACTGTTTTTAATGATTGGCTGAATAAATTGAATTGAATTGAATGTAGTGATTTGCCAAGAGTCCTAAAATATACAATCAAATCAATACCTTTGCGGATGATGCTATCGATGACCATGTTGAGTAGAAGTCATCGTGATACTGACCTTCGAGTGATAGCTTCTTCAGATGAGGCATCTTACAGATGAACTGAACGAGATCACGTGATGCACAGGGAAGTTCACTGAGACCCCAAGAGTGGAAGTAAAGAGTCTCAATCTGTTATGGTAGTAACAATATGTTGAATGAATAATTACCAACACCCACTAAAACTACATTCAATATTCAACAATATGTTTAAAATTATATAAATATTGTTGCCACGATGAAAAAATTCTTAACACAATAACATTTATTTTGTAATGAGGTACAAGTCTTGACACCGGAATTTAGCTCTAATTTCAATAGTTCCTGGATTTTTTTAGACCAATATAATGGTGTTTATTCATAACTGATAGGTAATGACAGAGATTCTCAATATGTTTTGATTACGGATAAAGACAATGATTATATTTTCTAAATCATATTGACATGCTCACTGAGGGAGTAGTGGGGAAAATAAATGAAGGACTTCGGTCATGATCTAAATTCTAATGGAACAAAAGAGAATAAAAAAGAAGGCAAACCGGTCGCAAATCAGTCCCCAATCACACTTATCTTGAAAAAAAAACCCTGTGCTTTATTCTAGGGAGAACCTGAACACCCTGATTATTTTATCGACGACATTATAGCGATGGAATCATGGTTATCAGAAAGAAGGGGATTTTTTTCCCCCTGGGCATATGATCCAGTAATTGTACAGACCCTACTACATATTCACGTCGGAATGAGTGAGGGGGAGGTGGGGCGAGGGGGGAGGGGGGAGGGGGGAGGGGGGCTGATCGGCATACTGGATATCAGGTCTTAATCTGTTATAATAGTAACAGTGTTTTGAATATACAACTGCTGACATACCACTTCTTAAGCATTGCATCATGATACAGTTGCCGGTCTCATTCATTTACAAAACCAATACGTTATTCTGTAATTTGACTGAAATAGGACTGTGAAAACCTAATTTTACTTAACATAAAAGTGTGAAAACATATATATTATAGAACCCTTTGCAATTTCCAAAGGGATAGAAAAATAATACAAATGGGGAAGAAGAGATTCGATTTTTCATTTGTGTAGGTTTTTACATTAGAATATTTAGTCTCATCAGTATTCACAATTGAAATAGCCGTCTCTCCATTAGCTCTTCCGTAGCACTCCGAATTGTCATATGAAATGAATAATATGGTACATCTTTTTCACTGTCATTTTTAAGATCTTCAGTCTGTTTTTATATTATAACAGAAAGTTTACATGTCGCATCGACCTGAAACGTTCAACTTTTCCTACCTGCTTCCACTTAACGGTGTACCAATAGGCAGAGTAAATGTGTACACGTGCGTTTGACTATATAGGAAAGAGTACCTCCAGTATAACAAAACATGTAGTGATTTGCTAAGAGTTCTAAAATATATGATCACATCAATACCTTTGCAGATGATGCCATTGACGATGATGTTGAGTAGAAGTCATCATGAAGCGAGACCCTGTGCATGTAGCTGCCCCTACCGAGTGTCAGGTCCTTCAGATGAGACATCTTACAGATGAACTGAGCGAGATCACGTGATGCAGAGGGACGTCCATGGAGATCCTCAGACCGGATTTCAAGAGTCTCAATCTGTTATGATAGAAACAATATGTTGAATGAATAGTCACTGATATTACACATCAGTTGTCAACTGAATGATATGCAATATTCAACAATCTGTTTAGAATTATATTAATGTCGTTGCCACAATGGTAGAAATCTTAACACAATAACATCTATTTTGTAATGAGGTACAATTCTTGAAATCTGAAATGTGCACTAATTTCAATAGTTCCTGAAATCTTTTAAAGCACATTTTATGGTGTATATTCATAACTGATAAGTAAAGTCTGTGGTGACCAATATGTTTTTGTTTGATCCAATCGGGACTGTGGAAATTACGGATAAAGAAAAAGTCAAACATTTCTAAATCATATTGACCTGTTGACTGAGAGATATCGATTAAATATGAATGAAGGACTTGGCTCATGATCTAAAGTCTTACAGAACAAAGGAGACTAAAACAAGAAGTCAGGACGGTCGCAAACCACTTCCCAATCACACTACTCTTGAAGACAAATCTGTGCTTTATTCTGGGGAGAATCTCAACACTCTGATTATGTTACCGACATTATAGTGGTTGAAGGGTTGATCCATGATTGTCAGAGAGGAGGGTATTTTTCCCCGGGCATATGATCAAGTAATTTTCCTGACCCTACTACATATTCCCGTCGGATTGAGTGACGGATGGTGGGGTTGGGGGGGGGGGGGGTTGATTCACTCACAGGATGTCAAGTCTTATTCTGTTATAATTGTAACATTGTATTGGATAAACAACTGCTGACATGACACTGCTTAAAAAATATTTTAAACATTACATCATGATACAGTAATGTTGCGATCCTCATTCATTTACAAAAGTAATACATAAACGGATACGTTAGGGATACAGACAAAAATACGAACGGGGACGAAGAGATTCGAGTGTTTTATTTTTATAGGTTTTTAAATTAAAATATTTAGTCTAATCAGTATTCACAATTTTGAAATAGCTGTCTCTCCATTAGCATTTCCGTAGCATTTCGAATTGACATATGAAATGAAAAATGTGGTATATATTATTCACTATCAATCTTATAACCGTCACTCTGTTTTTGTATTATGACAGAAAGTTCACTTTTGCAGCCACTTCCTGAAACGACCAACTTTTCCTACCTGCTTCCTTTTAACAGTGTACCAATAGGCAGAGTAAATGTGTACACTTACGTTTGACTATATAGAGAAGAGTATACCTTCAGTATAACAAAACATGTAGTGATTTACTAGGAGTCCTAAAATATATGATCAAATCAATACCTTTGCAGATGATGCCATCGACGAAGATGTTGAGAAGAAGTCATCGTGATGCTGACCGTCGAGTGACAGGTTCGTCAGATGAGGCATCTTACAGATGAACTGAGCGAGATCACGTGATGCATAGGGACGTTCACTGACATCCGCATACCTGATGTTAAGAGTCTTAATCTGTTGTGATAGTAACATTTTGTTGAATGAATAATTACCAACAACCCATTAAAACTGCATTCAAGATTCAGCAATATGCCTAAAACTATATTAACACGTTGCTGCAATGAAATAATATCTCAACACCATCACATTAATTGTGTAATGATGCACAAGTCTTGACACCTTAAATGAGCTCTAATTTCAAATAGTTCCTGGATTTTTCTAAGGGTGATATAATGGAGTTTATTCATAACTGATAGGTTATGACAGAGGTGATCAATAGGTTTTTTGATTGACCCAATCGGGACTGTGGGCATTACGGATAAAGAAAATGATAATATTTTCTAGATCATATTGCCAGCCTCAATCTAACTACTCTTGAATGAAAACGTGTGCTTAAAATCGAAGAGGAATTTTAACACCCCGATTATGTTATTGACGACATGATGTTGTGGCGGTTCCATGATTGTCATAAAGGAGTGGATTGTATCCATCGTTCATATTATTCGGTAATCTAAGTGACCCTACTGCATGTGCAAGTTATAATAAGTGAGCGGTGGGTGAGGGGGGGGGGGAGGAAGATACACATAATGGATTTCAAGTCTTAATCTGTTACAATAACATTATGTAAGATAAACAATAGCTGACATCACACTACTTAAAAATATTTGTAAACATTACATCATGATACCGCCATCCTCATTCATTTACAAAAGCAACGCGTTATTCTGAATTTGATTGAAATAGTACTTTTAAAAATTTAATTTTACATAGCAGAAAACTGTGAAAACAAAAAAGAATGGAAGACTTTGCAGTTTCCAAAAGATTGCAAACGGGGACTAAGAGAGTCGATTTTTTTTTACATTTTTTATTTTAAAGTTTGTTTAAATTAAACAATTTGGTCTCATCAATATTCACAATTGAAATAGACGTCTCTACATCAGCACTTCCGTAGCACTCCGAACTGTCATATGTAATGGGGAAAAAAAGGTATATATAATTTAATATCAATCTTATAATCTTTAGTCTGTTTTCTTTATTATGACAGAAATTTCTCTTTTTGCTTCCACTTCCTGAAACGTTTGTCTTTTCCCACCAGCTTCCTCTTAACAGTATACCAATAGGGAGAGTAACAACACATGTAGTGATTTGCTAAGAGTCCTAAAATATATGATCCAATACCTTTGCAGATGATGCTATCGACGAAGATGTTGAGTAGAAGTCATCGTGATACTGACCGCCGAGTGACAGGTTCTTCAGATGAGGCACCTTACAGATGAACTGAGCGAGATCACGTGATGCATAGGGACGTACACTGACATCCACAAACGAGATGGTAAGAGTCTCAATCTGTAATGATAGCAAAATTATACTGAAAGAATAATTACAAACAAACCATCAATACTATATTAAAAATTTAGCGATATGTTTCAAATTGTATAAATAACGTTGCCACAATGAAAAAAATCTTAACACATTAACATTCATTTTGTTATGAGGGGCAAGTCTTGACACCTGAAATTAGCACTAATTTTAATAGTTCCTCGATTCTCTTGAGATTAATTTAATGGAGTTTATTCATAAGTGATAGGTAAAGACAGTCATGACCGTTTCGTTGACAATCAGCCATGCATGAAGTCTTTCGTCTACGGCTGATTGTCAACGAAACGGAGTTAAGTCTTTTGTTAATTCCGTGTGTTGCTTAGGCAGGCACCTAGTGAAAACGAATTCGTTAAGTAAAATTATAGAAATGCAAGCACTATTTTAAACAAACAGAACTTTGTTATTCCTAGCTCATTTTTCCTGAATGATGTGTCATATGAAAGAGCAGAACTTTCTAGAAATGCGATCTTCTCTTTGAAATCCAGATACCGTCCGCCAAATGACTTTTTGGTACCCTTTCTTCAAATTGTTTTTAATCACGCATGCGTGAAAAATGCATCATATGAAAGAAGAGGACCTAAGCTTTACAAATATGTGTCATTTATTAATTATAAATGTGACTAAGTTATGATAAAACATCGACGCACTGTATAGAAAAGAACACGCTTCAAGTATGACAAAACAGGCATTTGCTTAGAGTCCCCAAAATATGATCAAATCAATACCTTTGCAGATGATGCCATCGACGAAGATGTTGAGTAGAAGTCATCGTGATACTGACCCTTGAGTGACAGGTCCTTCAGATGGAGCATGTTACATATGAACTGAGCGAGATCACGTGATGCAGAGGGACGTTCACTGAGATCCTCATTATTCCTGATGTTAAGGGTCTCAACCTGTTATGAAAGTAACATTATGTTATATGAATAATTACCAACAACCCACTAAAACTTTATTCAAGATTCAGCAATATGTTTACAATTATATTGATATCGTAGCCAACATTAAAAAAACTTTTATTAAACACAATCACATTTATTGTGTAATGATGTTCAAAGTCTTGACACTTGAAATTAACACTAATTTCAATAGTTTCTGGATCTTTTGAGACCAATATCAGTGTGTTTATTCAAAACTGGTAGGTAATGACAGGGGTAATGGAAATGTTTTTTGTTTGATCCAATCGGGACTGTGGGCATTACAGTTAAAGAAATTGTGTTTGAGATCATGTTGACCTGTTGACTGACGGAGAAGTGTGTAAATATGAATAAAGGACTTTGCTCATGATCTAAAGTCTAATAAAACAAAAGAGAATCAAACAAAAAGGCAGAAATTTCGCAAATCAGTCCATGATTGCCAGAAAGGAGGAGAATTTTCCCCCGGGAATATGAATCGGTTATCTCGCTGACTCTCCTGCATTTGCACGTCGAACTGAGTGAGGGGGTGAGAGGATGATCCACATACTGGGTGTCTAGTCTTAATTTGTTACAATAGTAACATAGTGTGGGATATACAATTCCTGGCATTACAATACTTAACAACAAAAAATAAACAATACATTATGATGAGGTTGACATCCTCATTCATTTAAAAAAGCATAATGTTATTCTGATATTTTATAGAACTAGTACTTTGAAAATCTAATTTTACATATCCTAATAGTTTTATAACAAATAAACATGGAACACATTGCAGTTTCCAAAGGGATACAGAAATAACACTCACGGTGACTAAGAGATGCGATTTATCGTTTTGTAGGTTTTAATAGAAGCAGAAAAGGTAAGGATGTCAGTGAAAGTTTAAGCAAAACCCGATAATAAAAAAAAAGTTATGAAATGTCGAAGGTGCTCTCAATCAAACACAAATTGGCAACTTTGTGCCGTATCAGGCGAGGTCTCCTCTCATTTGCCCTGTACTAAATAACTACAAAGTACGTATATATTTTCCCTTAAGAAAAATTCCACTCATACATTCACCCTAAACATAATTAGTGCAACTATGTTTTGTTATGCAACCCCTCTATGAAACAAAACTATTCAGTAATCGATAGATTAGACATGAAAGTTAATTTAATTTTCTATACAGAGCAAATTGGAAAGGAGCTCGCAATATATATACGTCACAGCGTTGACAAATTGTGTTACACTAATGACAACTTTAAACGATCATAACTTTCCTTTTGTAAACCGGGTATTGCTCAAACTTTCACACACTTGTTTCTCTCACTTTTCTGCTTTTATTAAAACCAACTTCCCCTTAAGATTAAATATTTAGTCTCACCAGCAATTCATATTACAAATAGCCGTCACTCATTCAGCACTTCCATTACCCTCCGTATTGGCCCATGGAATGAACAAAATATATGGTTCTTATTATTCACTATCAATCTTACAATCTTCATTCTATTTCTGTATTATGACACAAAGTTCACTTTTCGTTTCCACTTCCTGAAACGTTAAACTTTCTCTGCTTCCTCTTAATGGTGTACTAATTGGGAGAATAATATCGTCCACTTGCGTTTGACTATATAGAAAAGAGTACACTTCAAGTATGACAAAACATGTAGGCATTTGCTTAGAGTACTTAAAAAATAAGATCAAATCAATACCTTTGCAGATGATGCCATCGACGAAGATGATGAGTAGAAGTCATCGTGCAGAAAGACCTCGTCCCCCTCACCGAGTGTCAGGCTCTTCAAACGTGGCATCTTACAGATGAACTGAGCGAGATCACGTGATGCAGACGGACGTTTAGTGAGATCCAGAGACAAGATGTTAAGAGTCTCAATCTGTTATGAGAGTAACATTACGTTGAATGAATAATAACCAACAACCCATTAAAACTATATTCAATATTCTAAAATCTGTTTAAATCAATGTTAAATTCATTACCCCAATGTAAAAATCTTAACGCAATAACATTTATTTTGTAATAAGGCACAGGTCTTGTCACTTGAAATTAGCACTAATTTCAATAGTTCCTGGATTTTTTTTTTTGAGACCGATATCATGCTGTGTGTTCATTACTGATAGGTTATGGCAGAGGTAATCAACATTTCTTGACTGATCCAATCGGGATTGGGGCATGACGAATATGAAAAGGATGATATTTTCTTGATCATATTGACCTGTTAACTTTGGAGCAGTGGGTAAATATGATTGAAGGACTTGGCTCATGATCGAAAGTCTTACAGAACAAAAGAGAGCAAAACAAGAAAGCAGAATGGTCGCAAACTAGTCCTCAACCGCACTACTCTTGAAGGAAAACACGTGCGTTTGATTGGGGAGAAACCCTCAGTATGTTATTGACAGCATCATAAAGTGTCGGGTCCATGATGGTCATAAAGGAGGGGTTTTTTCCTCTGGGCGTATGATTCGGTTATCTCGCTGACTCTCCTGCATTTGCACGTCGAACTGAGTGAGGGGGTGAGAGGATGATCCACATATCGGATGCCAAGACTGTTATAATAGTAAAAATATGTTGGATATACAACTGCCGATATTTATACACTACTTAAAGATAATTATTTTGTACTTTACATTATGATACAGTTGCCACCCTTTTTCATTTACAAAAGCAATAACTTATTCTGACATTTGATTGACATAGTATCTAATTTGACATAACATAAAAGTGTGAATACAAATAAACATGAAACACTTTCCAGTTTCCAAAGGGATACAGAAATATCACGAACGGGGACTAAGAGATGCGATTCATCATTTTGGAGGTTATAAAAGGGAAGTCCACCCTGATATTAAGTGGTTTTAATAGAAGCAGAATAAGGAAATCATGTCAGTGAAAGTTTAAGCAAAAAACGATTTAAAAAAAGATATTTTGAAGGTGCAGTCAATCAAACACGAATTGACAACTCCGTGACATATTAGACGAGCTCTCCTCTTAATTGCCCTGTACTAAATAACTACAATTTTTTTTATTTTCCCTCTAGAAACGTTTCAGTCACACGTGCACCCTACACATAATTTGTGCAATTATGTTTTTATGCATCCCCTCTATGAAGAAAACAATTCAGTAATCAATAGCTTAGAAAATGAAAGTTGATTTAATTTTCTATACAGAGCAAATTGGAAAGGAGCTCGCAATATATATACGTCACAGCGTTGACAAATCGTGTTACACTAATGACAACTTTAAATGATCATAACTTTCCTTTTGTATACCGGGTATTGCTCAACCTTTCACAAATTTGTTTCTCTCACTTTTCTGCTTTTATTAAAACCAACTTCCCCTTTAGATTGAATATTTAGTCTCATCAGCAATTCATATTACAAATAGCCGTCACTCATTCAGCACTTCCATTACCTTCCGTATTGGCCCATGGAATGAACAAAATATATGGTTCTTATTATTCATTATATACCTCACTTAAGAAATCCAGCCATCTGATTGGCCGAAATTGCAGTCATGGTTTTAACCATTCCCGTAAATAAACTAAAAATGCCACACCCATGTAATAGTTCGATATTAAATCGGTAAAATCCCGGCAAAATTCCAGTTACCGAGAAAATAGTTCAGTCTTGGTAAAATACCCATAGGTTCACATGTTAAAAACTGGTTTGAGCGATCGCGGATACCGTACGTGTGCGAAGAATTGGTCGCTATATTTTACCAATTTTTTAATACATCGGTCGTCTGCGCTGGCCGCTGCTAGTTGAATCCGGGCTAACTCGCAACCACAGGACATCTCGTCCTAGCCTCGAAGACTGGGGCGAGAAGTCCCGACATGATTCACCGATCGAGAGATACCAATGTGTATATGTTTGTGCTCATTGTGACTTAATAATGCCAATTCCAACCACAATCTGTAATGGAATTGTGTTAAATGTTTGAAGACAATCTATAACTTCTCTTTAATCTATAACTTCTCCATTACATTGGTATCTCCCGACCGATGAATCATGTCGGGACATCTCGCCCCAGTCTTTGAGGCTGGGGCGAGATGTCCCGTGGGGCGACTTAGCCCGACTCCTCTTGATCGAAATCAGTACCATCGTCATCGACATCTACTGGTGGTCAGTGTAGTGAAAGCTGCGGGAACTGCGGTAACTAAATGAAATTTTCAATGAGATCACAAATAACCCAGAGAACTTCCCACGCACATGCAACATCACTACAAGTAGCCATGCCCATGTTTCCAGTCAGCAGGTGCAAGCACCTACATATCACTTTAACAACTGCACTGTAAACATCTTTAACAAATAGTTTTATGGAGTTATTTTCTACGGAGTTCTACCTGTTCTACCAGTTGAATTACGTTTTTTTTTCTCGGAGTTCTACCTGTTCTACCAGTTGAGTTACGGATTTTTTTTTTTTACGGAGTTCTACCTTTTCTACCAGTCGAGTTACGGAGTTTTTTTTACGGAGTTCTACCTGTTCTACCAGTTGATTGGTAAGTTGACTCTTCGGCATATAAAAGTAATAATGACTTCTTTAATATGAGAGAAAACGCCTCGGGCAATAGCACAATTGTAACCTTCCCGAGAGCGTATAAAAACAACTATTTATCTCAAAGCAGTCATTAAAGGTAATACAAAGTTTTGGTTTGGGGTAATGAATTTGGTTCAAATGAATAAATTGGAAGCATATGCGATCCTACAATATTCAGTGATCGTTGTCGCGGTTGAAATCGAGTCTAAAGTTATGAAATTATAAATAATTAACTCTTTATGTTGTATAGCTCCCTCTCAAGGTCAAGATATTAATTAAGCTATAAAACAATGTTTCTTGACTAAAATCGACCGATTAGCTATTCCCGTTTGGAAATTATATATCGCAACTAAATATTCTGAGATTTTCATGGTCGCAGCTACCATTGTACAGCCGTAGGCGCTATTTGAAATTTATCAAAATTTACCCGGAGCACCGGTAAATTTTTATATTCAATTTTTCTCGAAAGCAGAAGTATTTTAGGGACTAAATTTTCTAGTGCTTATAATATATCCACAGGGGCATCCAAATATATCAAAGTTGTAAAGAATCACTATCCACCCAATTTTCAAAATTTCCCAAAACTTTGTATTACCTTTAATACTATACTATCAATCTTACAATCTTCATTCTGTTTCTGTATTATAACACAAAGTTCACTTTTCGTTTCCACTTCCTGAAACGTTAAACTTTCTCTGCTTCCTCTTAATGGTGTACTAATTGGGAGAATAAAATCGTCCACTTGCGTTTGACTATATAGAAAAGAGTACACTTCAAGTATGACAAAACATGTAGGCATTTGCTTAGAGTACTTACAAAACAAGATCAAATCAATACCTTTGCAGATGATGCCATCGACGAAGATGATGAGTAGAAGTCATCGTGAAGAAAGATCTCGTCCCCCTCACCGAGTGTCAGGCTCTTTAAACTAGACATCTTACAGATGAACTGAGCGAAACCACGTGATGCAAACGGACGTTTAGTGAGATCCAGAGACAAGATGTGAAGAGTCTCAATCTGTTATGAGAGTAACATTACGTTGAATAAACAATAACCAGCAACCCATTAAAACTATATTCAATATTCTAAAATATGTTCAAATCAATGTAAAATTCATTACCCCAATGTAAAATCTTAACACAATGACATTTATTTTGTAATGAGGTACAGGTCCTGACACTTGAAATTAGCACTAATATCAATAGTTCCAGGATTTGTTTGAGACCGATATGATGCTGTGTATTCATTGCTGGTAGGTAATGACAGAGGTAATCGAAATTTGTTGACTGATCCAATCGTGACTGGGGCATGACGAATATGAAAAGGATGATATTTTCTTGATCATATTGACCTGTTAACTATGGAGCAGTGGGTAAATATGATTGAAGGACTTGGCTCATGATCTAAAGTCTTACAGAACAAAAGAGAACAAAACAAGAAGGCAGAATGGTCGCAAACTAGTCCTCAACCGCACTACTCTTGAAGAAAAACACGTGCGTTTAATCGGGGGGGGGACCCTCAGTATTTTATTGACAACATCATATAGTTCAAAAGTATTGCTAAAGGTACTTTATTGAAGCGGATTGAAGCGAGGTCCGAAGATTATATTGGAATTGACCAATTTGGCTTTCGTACAGGGGTCGGTACCCGAGATTCAATTGCTGTAATGAGAATACTAAGTGAGAGATGTATACAGCATGATCAGGACCTATATATCTGTTTTGTGGACTACGAAAAGGCATTTGATCGTGACAATTGGACTAGGCTAATGGAAGTGCTGTCAGCCATTGGTGTTGATTGGAGAGAACGTAGACTGATTGCATCCTTGTTCATGTCTCAGACTGCAAGCGTTCGCGTTGGAGATGGGGTCTCTGAACCAGCCGGCATTGGACGTGGAACACGTCAGGGATGCCTTCTGTCTCCTCTTCACTTCAATAGTGTCACGCAGTTTGGTTAAGATAATTAATGTAATATTATGTATATATTTTATCCCATGCTTTAGTCTACTTTAAAACAATTCATGAGTATTGTATAATTGTACTAGTCTATGTAAAGGATGTCTTGCCATCGCTATTGCAAATTACAAATTTAGCCAGCCCGATCTCAATTGCTTTGCATACAGCGGAGTTCTTTCTTCACTCCTCTTGCTTTGTTTTCTTGACTTAATTTCACAAGGTTTGTCATACTCTCTCAATGGACCTGACCTTTCCTACTTCTCTTTCTATGACTTTCACAAAGTCAGCCCTTTCTACTCTATGCTCTCCTCACTTTGACCTTGCATTCACTTTCAGAACTTTCGCCTTGCTCTCCTCATTTCGACTTTGTCTTGACTTTCAGAGCTCTTGTTCTTTCCCTTCACTCTTGTTTGACCTAAACTCTCATTTCAACGTTGCACTGTCATTCGACCCTTCAGCTTGCGTATTCTCTTGACTTTCTCCTGTCCTTGTGTCCTCTCTCTCAATATGACTTAGGGTACGTTTATGCTCAATTTTGAACGCAGAATGAGCGATTTGAAACGCTCATCGTAAACACACGTTCCACGGTGTACTGTTTATGCTCCCTTCTCCAGGCCAATTCGGGCTCTGTAGGCCTATCTGTATTCGCATGCTACGTTGACCCCGGGTGGGCAGGTCAAGTTTTGGCGCGCTTCTTCGAATAAGCTTTGTAGGCACTTCACCGGCAGGAGCATGCATTTATGCAGGCCAGGCGGCCACTGCATGTACGTGTATGCGATATGCGTTAAAATAAAAAGAAGAAATAACAGAATAAAAGTACACAAACAAGATAAATACGATTTGAAAAATGGAAGGAAAACAAATAATCTCAAAATATAAAAAAGAGATTATATACAGTGCGTCCCAGAAAAAACGAAACCGAGAAGTATCGATGTTCTATCATAACTTAATCACAACTATAATTAATGAATGATACATATTTGGAAAGCTTAGCGTCTCCTTTTTCAGTTGATGCTACTCATAATAATGCATATTTCACGCATTAATGACTAAAAGCAATTTGAAGGAAGAAAACCAAAAATACATTTGGCGGGTGGTATCTGAATTTCGAAGAAAAATTCACATTTCTATAAAGTTGAGTTTTTGCCCTTTATGATACCTCAATCAAGAAAAATGAGCCAGGAATAACAAAGTTCTGTTTGTTTAAAGTAGCTCTTACATAATCTCAAAATTTGACAAAAGACTTAACTCCGTTTCGTTGACAATCAGCCGTAGACGAGAGTCTTCATGCATGGCTGATTGTCAACGAAACGGAGTTAAGTCTTTTGTCAAATCTGCTTTTTGCTAAGGCAGGCACCCAGTGAAAACGAATTCGTTTGTTAAAATTATGAAAATGTAAGGGCTAATTTAAACAAACAGAACTTTGTTATTCATGGCTCATTTTTCTTGATTGAGGTATCATATGAAAGAGCAGAAAATGAACTTTCTAGAAATATGAATTTTTCTTTGAAATTCAGATACCGCCCGCCAAATTAATTTTTGGTTTCCTTCCTTCAAATTGCTTTTAATCACTCATGCGTACAATATGCATCACGTGAGTAGCATCAACTGAAAAAGTAGACTCTAAGCTTTCCAAATATATACCATTCATTAATTATGGTTGGGATTAAGTTATGATAAAACATCGATACTTCTCGGTTTCATTTTTCCTGGGACGCACTGTATATTGAAAATATCCGTTAACACATTATATATATTAACACCCCCCCCCCCGCTAGTTATAGATTTTCACATGAACGTTTATGATGACGTCATTTAAACCCGTTTACAAATGATTGTGCGTTTATGCTTCCCCAGAGTGTTTTGGGAGAAACGCCGATGCAAAACGCACCTTTTTGTGAATTTACGATCGCCGTTTATCGGTGATTCTACGAAAATGAGAAAGGATGCAACCGTGTTTTTAACTAAACGCGTAACAAAAGCCTTATTCTGGCCTGAAAAAGGGTGCGATCAAGCGATTTTTCGAAGCTAGAATCACAAATCAAAACGCTGTTACAAAACACGGTTACTGCGGGAGAGCGTTCAAGCGATTTTTCACCAACGCTGATTCTAGCTCATTTCGAGCCCAGCCACTCGCATCACACTGCGCAGTTTGACCCAGGAAGTATAGGTCAACTTTACCGTCTCTTTTTTCTCTACAAATAGTACAATTATGGTATTTGAAGATCGCCGAGTTCGTAATCTTAATTAAGAGAAAGTGATAGAATTATACAAACAAAGAATAACATAAGAGAAGGTGATAGAAGGAATAAATAAAGATTAACATAAGGAAGGACAGAAAGAGAAAGTGATAGAATGATTAAAACAAGAATAACATAAGAGAATTAGGTGATAGAAGGAAGAAACAAAGAATAACATAAGGAAAGACAGAAAGAGAAGGTGATAGAATGATTAAAACACAGAATAACATAAGAGAAGGTGATAGAAGGAAGGAACAAAGAATAAAATAAGGAAAGACAGAAAGAGAAGGTGATAGAAGGAAGAAACAAAGAATATCGTAAGGAAAGACAGAAAGAGAAAGTGAGAGAATGATTTAAAATAAAGAATAACATAAGAGAAAGTGATAAAATGATTAAAACAAAGAATAACATAAGAGAAGGTGATAGAAGGAAAAACAAAGAATAACATTAGAAAGGACAAAAAGAGAAGGTAATAGAATGATTAAAACAAAGAATAACATAAGAGAAGGTGATAGAAGGAAGAAACAAAGAATAGCATAAGGAAAGACAGAAAGAGAAGGTGATAGAAGGAAGAAACCAAGAATATCGTAAGGAAAGACAGAAAGAGAAAGTGAGAGAATGAATTAAAACAAAGAATAACATAAGAGAAAGTGAGAGAATGATTTAAAACAAAGAATAACACAAGAGAAAGTGATAGAATGATTAAAACAAAGAATAACATAAGAGAAGATGATAGAAGGAAAAACAAAGAATAACATAAGAAAGGACAAAAAGAGAAGGTGATAGAAGGAAGGAACAAAGAAGACAGAAAGAGGAAGTGATAGAATGATAAAAACAATGAATAACATAACAGAAGGTGATAGATGGAAGAAACAAAGAATAACATAAGGACAGAAAGAGAAAGTGATAGACTGATTAAAACAAAGAATAACATAACAGAAGGTGATAGAAGGAAAAAGCAAAGAATAACATAAAAGAAGGTAAGAGAAGGAAGAAGCAAACATATTGCTCCGTTTGTCTCATTTTCGCTCGCTGGAACAATGCCAGCACAAACCACTGACTTCTACCCCCTGGACGGATCATCGCCTATTCCCATTCACGATACGTTACGTACTAAAAGGCTGTATTGTCTGACCGTTCATGAATATTCATGTTTTTGCTTACCTCGGCAAAATGTTTGCTTTTACTAAATGGAAAAATGACGGTGGGGGGTTGGATGAACTGGACATAATGAACCAAGCAGAAGTGATCTATGATAATTCATGCTTCTTATCCTTCGTGTGCTTGACCTATAATCTTAAAATCGCTTGGCAAACTGAGTCCAAAGTTCGATTTGTTTCACATGTGTATTATAGGCAATGACGAGCTTGCAACCTATTTTGATCAAATAACGGTGGGTGAACTTTCAAAAGTCAATGGGACATGAGAGTTCCAATGAAAGAGCTAGCGATAACGTACGTCGGGGTGGCTGTGCTATTCGTTTAAACAAAAAACGATTTTTGTTGTAAAATTCCATAGGCTAACATGTTAGGCTGCTGAATCTGACGATAGGGGGCGTTGTGAAATGAGACTAAACGGAGCTATATGGAATAACATGAGGAAAGACAGAAAGAAAAATTGATAAAGATTAGATAATGAAAAGATAAAAGAGGAGATGAAAGATGAAAAAACAAAGAATAACATACGAACTGGTAGGAAAAAATGATAGAACGATGAAAACAAATAATTACATAAGAAAAGGTGATAGAAGGAAAAAAACAAAGAATAATAAAAACAAAGAATAGAAGGAAGAAATAAAGAATAACATAAGGAAAGACAGAAAGAGAAAACGATAAATAATAGAAAATGGAAAGATAGAAGAGAAGATGAAAGATGGACAAACGAAGAATAACATAATAAAAACAGAAAAAGAAAATGATAGAAGGAAAACAAGGAATAACATGACGGAACAGGCCACGATAATGACGTCATATAATCATGATTGAGATCTCCGTTCGTTCACTCGAATTTTAGCGACCGTGATTCTGCAGAATCATGATACAAAACGCATATTTTTCAGCGTTTCATGTTTGTGTTTTTAAACACGTTTATTTTTACGACCGACGAAAAAATCGCTTGTAAGTTGAACGCAACCGTGTTTTAGACTAAACGTCTTTCAAAACCGTGATTCTAGGGTGAAAATGTGTCGATTAAACGCACCCCAGAAAGTTGATCATAAACGTACCCTTTGAGCTCTCTGTTTATGTGCTCAATGACGCCCTTCTCCCTATATGCTCCGCAGCGCGACAAGTGTCTTTCTTGTGACCTACCTGACTGGTCTCTCTCTATGTCCCTCGAACAGAGGAGGCTTGTTTAGGCAGTTAGGAGTGAAGAATCTAGCAGTTAAGAGTAAGACTGGTGAGCTATCTTGAGTTAATTGTGTCATTTAGGTGACAAGCCTGTCACAACATTGTTTGAAGAGAGAGCAAGCAACGAAAGGGATAGAGAGCCAACCAGTTCAGAAATGGTCTCCAATGCAGGTATGTTAGTCTATCTTCTCAGTCAGTTATAACGCCTGCTCCATTATTTTTCCTATCTGATATTGCGGCAAGACATTCTCTATCTGTAAGATAATTATTTTTGTACTTTACATCATGATACAGTTGCCATCCTTTTTCATTCACAAAAGCAATAACTTATTCTGATATTTGATTGAAATAGTATCTAATTTTACATAACATAAAAGTGTGAATACAAATAAACATGGAACACCTTTCAGTTTCCAAAGGGATACAGAAATAACACGAACGGGGACTAAGAGATGCGATTCATCATTTTGGAGGTTTCAAAAGGGCCCTGTACTAAATAACTTTTACCAAAATTGTTTTTTTCCCTTTAGAAACATTTCAGTCATACATGTACCCTCAATATAATTTGTGCAACTATGTTTTTGTGCAACCCCTCTATGAATAAAACAATTCAGTAATCGATAGCTTAGAAAATGAAAGTTAATTAATTTTTCTATACAGAGCAAATTGGAAAGGAGCTCACATGATATATACGTCACAGCGTTGACAAATTGTGTTACACTATTCATAACTTTCCTTTTTTTTAAGCGGATATTGCTCAAACTTCACAAATTTGTTTCTCTCACTTTTCTGCTTTTATTAAAACCAACTTCACCTTTAGATTTAATATTCAGTCTCATCAGCAATTCACATTACAGAAAGTCCTCAAGCACCTCCATTACCCTCCGTTTTCTCCCATGGAATGACAAAATATATGGTTCTTATTATTCACTATCAATCTTACAATCTTCATTCTTTTTCTGTATTATGACACAACGTTCACTTTTCGCTTCCACTTCCTTAAAGCGTTTAAACTTCTCTGCTTCCTCTTAACGGTATACTGATTGGGAGAGTAGAATCGTCCACTTGCGTTTGACTATATAGAAAAGAGTACACTTCCAGTGTAACAAAACATGTAGGCAATCGCTTAAGAGTACTTTAAAAATATGATAAAATCAATACCTTTGCAGATGATGCCATCGACGAAGATGATGAGTAGAAGTCAGCGTGATAATGACCGCCGAGTATCAGGTTCTTCAGATAAGGCATCTTACAGATGACCTGAGCGAGATCACGTGATGCAGACGGACATTCAAGCAGATCCGGAGACAAGATGTTAAGAGTCTCAATCTGTTATGAAAGTAACATTACGTGGAATATATGATAACTAACAACCCATTAAAACTATATTCAATATTCAACAATCTGTTTAAATTAATGTTAAAATCACTGCCCCTATGTAAAAAAAAATGTAACGCAATCGCATTTATTTTTTAATGAGGTAAAGGTCTTGATACTTGAAATTAGCTCTAATTTCAATAGTTCCTGGCGTTTTTTTTAGACCGATATCATGCTGTTAATTCATTACTTGGGGATTATTACAGAGGTAATCAATAGGTTTTGACTGATCCAATCATGACTTGGGCATGACGTATACAAAAGGATGACATTTTCTAGATCATATTGACCTGTTTACAGTGGGAGCAGTGGATAAATATGAATGAAGGACTTGGCTAATGATCTAAAGTCTTACAGAACGAAAGATAAGAACAAAACAAGGCAGAACGGTCGCAAACCAGTCCTCAACCACACTTCTCTTGAAGGAAAACGTGAGCGTTTAGTCGGGGGGGGGGGGGAATTGAACACCCTCAGTATGTTATCGACATCGATTGTCAGAAAGGAGGGGATTTTGTTCCCCTGTGCATACGATTCGGTAATCTCGCAGACCCTCCTGCATTTGCACGTCGAACTGAGTAAGGGGGTGGGAGGATGATCCACATACTGGATTTCAAGTCTTTATCCGTTATGATAGTAAAATTCTGTTGGATATACAATAATTGCTCACATTACACTACTTAGCAATATTTGTAAAAATTACATCATGATGAGTTGCCATCCTTATTCATTTACAAAAGCAATACGTTGTTATTACATTTGATTGAAATAGTACCCTCGCAAATGATTATTCATACTATCACACCCAACTGCTAAGTATGATATGATGCTTAAGCAATATTTTGGACCCGGTAAAGAGAAAAAAAAAAAAAAATTAAATTATACCTTATAATGTAATCACAATCATGGCAATATAGGTGTATATACCATTTACCAATGTCTGGAAATCTTAACATTTTGCTTGGAGGTTTCCCTTTGTAGGTGCCCCCTTTTTCAGAAAGTGCCCTGTTTTGCTGGTGCCCCCTAACTTTGGAAGATGCTATGCCGCCCATGCACTTATGACATTCATTTTTTTACGAAAAGGACATCAACCTGGAGGATGTGGTAAACATATTTGAAAAGAGCCATCCAAGGAGGAGGATGCTCACTCTCATATCGGTAAAGGAAACAATGCAAACAACATAGGTAGGACACAGTTATTAGTAAAACTGTTTTGGTGTTAAACATTTTCAGACAGAAAAATGCCCAAATTGTTCCTACCCTGGGAGGGGGTCAGAAAGGGATCAGAAAGGAGAGGATTTATTTCCTGGGCATATATGATTTGGTAATTTCACTAGACCTCCCCACATTGGCATATCAGGCTGATGGGAGAGGGGGGATAAAAACAATGGATGTCCAGAGTCTCAATCTGTTATAATAGTACTACATTATGTTGGTTAAACAATTGCTGACATTACTAAATGAATTACATGTTGATACAGTTGCCATCCTCATTCTCGTGCAAAAGAAATAAGTGTTTCTTACATTTGATTGAGAAATTACTTTGAAAATCAGATTTCATATTAACACAAATGTGGAAAAAATAGACACAGAACTTTTTGTATTTTGCAATAGGATACAGAGATTATACAAACAGGACGAAGAGATTCGTTTTTTTTCTCCGACAGAAAGATCGTTTTTCGCTTCCACTTCCCGAGACGTTCAACTTTTCATAATTGCTTTTTCATTGCGGCGTAATATTGTATATAGTAAAATCACCCAATTTGGTTTGACTATCGAAATGAGTATACCTCAAGTTGAACCTCCCACCCTTCATCTCGGTCGTTTAATGTAAGATTACTGCGACAATTTTCAAGTCCCTCCCTTTTCCCCTAAGGACTGAGGTGGAATATTTTTTAACGAATTCCTTATATGTATTTTAGAAAAGAAATGTAGCGCGAATTAATTATGCAAAATTGTAAATTCTACGCATATTTAAAGAAGACTTTATATTTTGTCTCCTGACATGCCTCAAATGCCTCAAAACTTAGTCGAAATAATTTACTGTAAGGCCATTAAAATATAAACATAATTACTGTATTGGTAGTTAATTTTGTTAAAGTACAAATATATAAATCTGGGGATGTCAGAATTTAAGATTCGTAAAGTTATGTTGGGTGATCGAATGTTGGTGTGTTATGAATAAGTATTCTCACTATATCTTGTAAATTAGTAATTTTATCCGTTAGGTTTTTAATATCGTTTCCCAGACAATTAGCCTGTAATTAAGATAAGGTAATAACTATAGAAAGTGTTGTTCTTGTGCAGTCGCCTATCTAGGTTTCATGGCGCCCGGGACAAATAGTTAAGTTGCCCAACCCCCCCCCCTCTACCGCCCAAACTAACATTCGCTTCTTAAAATCGATGGAGCAAAGCGATCGAGCTGTAAATATTTTTAAGTTATTTGCCTCGAAAACGGAATTAGGGAGATGCGATGTCAGTGGTTTTGTAACCGGGAGGTCCCGGGTTTGAAATCAAGTCGAAATTTTAGTGTCCTCTGGTAAGGCATTAATCCTCGATTCTAGGTCCATCGGAGAAGACTTAAAACCGTCACTCCCCTGGCTGCTTACTCACAAGCATATAGATACTTTCTTAGCAGTCAGGTAAAACAAACAAATTAACCAATTGTTTTGCATTTTATAAAAGGAAAGTTCGCGAAGAAGCACTGCAATCCTGCTGTAGAATTTTGAATTTTGAAATTTAATTTTTGAGTAGCGGCTTTCTATTCATTTAATTTGATTTGATTTGATTTACGCATTTTTCCAAATAACAAAGAACATATAAACGTGAGGTATAATACAAAATATACAAACAATAAAAACTTCATGTTAAAATGTTAGTTATATAATATACATATAATAACGAAACTTAATATTTCTCTAACATATTATTGTAAATTCAAAGTATTATCCGAAGTTAATGTGGAAAAAGTGCAGGAGACCGCAATCATAAGCGATGCTTGACTAGGATGGCGGCCTCAAAAGAAAATTTTAAAGTGAAATTTAAAATGAAAATGTGTTTATACGATCTTTGTGTTTGAGTTTTTGAGTGTGTTGTGTGAGTGTGTATTGTGTGTGTGTGTGTGTGTGTGCGTGTGTGTGCGCGCGTGTGTGTGTGTGCGCGTGTGTATGTGCGTGTGTGTGTGTGTGTGTGTGGTTTTGTAGCGAATGGTGGATGTGCACGTATCTCTGTGTTGGTGAAGTGGAAACAAATGTAGCCTTTTCAATATTAAAGGAATACGAAATAGAATACGAAATATGCAAAAATGACTTGCAATGTGACCAAAATTGAGAGATCAATAATAATTGCCTATTGCATGTTGATATCAATTATGTAGTTATTTCGATAAAAGAGTTTTTTTTAATAGATGCTTTAAAAGAAAAGAGAGATGAACAATGCCTTATTGAATTTTGTAAAAACAAATTTGTTTCCCATTATTCTCCTATGCAATTCAATCTTATGACATCAGGAAAACTATGATCCTGACTGAATATGGCATCCCTTTCTTTTTGAAGAATGATGTACCAAAAATACGTCAACTTGAGTAGTACTCAGATTTATACTGACCTTGGAATCGACTGCTTCATTCGCAAGCACCGAGTAGAAGACATCATGCATAGTAGTTTTGATCTTCACAGATCTCAGTGATCGTGATGTGCACATGAATTCAGCCAGGTCCTCTGAAGCCGTCCGTCCACATGGCTTCCCAATATTCAGGTGAACCTACAAGGTACATGTACACAAATAACACAAGAAACATAAACGCATGAAAATAATACCGGATTATCCTAATAATTAACTTCATTGATATTGATTTTTAATATGTTTTTGCCATTTTCCGTGTGTCTTTATCATACTGGTTTGAACAGCATACACGTGCAAAGAATATTGGGATTCGTGATATTAAAAGTGTTATATTACTAAACAAGGTTTCATTGCAAATACATGCAAGACGGGTTGTGCTGCAATGACAAAAAAAATCGCAAGTCCTACAAAGAAATTAAAGTACTAATACTCATTAACTATTGTAAGTAATAATAGTAAATGTTGTTCGTGTACATTGTAGTTTTCAGATAAAAAATATGATCAGAGTTAAACACATGCTAGATCCATAGAAGTTGTTTTAAATATGCTCCATGATTAAATACAACTGATTCTATCAAGCTTCTTTTCACCATGTGGGTGAAGGGATGTTTGTACAGAATGCATTGCCTTATTAGCACATATCGGGATTCAAAGCGTCTTTCGTATACATGGTATATGTATACAGTCAAGTATTCAAACCAAACAGCGTCATCCTATAAGTCTGAGAGAATGAAATTTAAATCAAATAAAAAAATTATCACTCAAAGTGATCATACATAGAGGAAATTGATATGTTTCTACAACGACGTTACTTTCCTTACCACTTCACGATGATTCATGATGAAAATTTGCCCTGATACTGTGTGTGCATGCATCTCCTCGGTGATCTTCAGTGTCTTGCTGGATTTAGAGGAGAGATGCTCCGCCACTGCTTTGGCCACTGCTTGGTCTTGGCTCTCGTATGCTACATCTACGATGAAGTCATCATCAATACGGCGATATGTAAACTCTCTTGTCGGCGCTATGAGACGAGATACGATATCCAAGCCGACCTCCTTCTGCTTGGCCGAGGTGAAGTACAGTAGGTACCGGTATTCCTGTGCTTCCGTTATGATATTCGCTATCAACCTGTCATACTCATTACGGTTTGAGTTGTAAAGAGATGCAAGATACATTCCAGATAGATACTCCTGGAAGAGCTTATGTGTAAACTGCACAGCTAAGACTGCAGATTGGGAATGATGTTTTCTGTCTCTCCTCGAAGGAATATGCTTTTCTTTAGTAAGTACCCCAACTTTACAACCTGTATCCACAGACCCCGGACAGCTCTGAAACTCTTCTTCTCTGAACATCAACCGTCTCTCGAGAAGACCCTGGAAGGCAACACAACCAATGTGAATTACATGATGAAGAATTTTCGAGCGATTTTCATCCAATTCTCCATCAGCATCTGCTGAGGGCACAGCGAGCTTGGAGAGGTAATGGTCAACCAAAAATTGAAGCATCTCATCAAATAGCTGGGAGAATGTTTGCAGCTTGGACATTGCCTGTCGGCGCTCTCCATCATAGTCTTTCCACATGATGCACAGCATGGCTGTGTATATGGGGTAGGGGGCCATGTTCTCTCTGATCACATCGTTGTTTGATATGAATCGGTTCAGATCTTCAGCGGATGCTGTGTCAGGATGAAAGAACTTGGTGATGTAAGAAGAGAGGTTTTCCGTAGAGAAACCTTCTACAGCAATGAAGGCAAACACCTTTCTGAGAAAGGCATTCTTCCTAATCTCATCTGATCTCCATTGCCGTGATGTGATTAGTACTGTGCCTGATTTGAACAGCCGATTGAGAGTGATCAGGGCGATTTGTTGAAAGCTGTTAAGATCGACACCAAACTCATCAAGGCCATCCAGGACAAGAAAGACGTCTTTCGGATTTGAGAGGATGTACTTGTCTAGCTGCTTGGCTGTGACGGGATTGTCATCTGGGAGATACGACTTCACTACCTCTCCAACAGTCTTGTCCTTTGCCTCGCGAAAGAGGACGACAAGGAAAAGTTTGAAATCTTGGTATCCTTTTCCGTGGATCCAATCCCAAGCAATCTTGGCGCAAAGAGTGGTCTTCCCCACACCACCTTCACCTTCCACCAACAAGCGTTTAGGATAGATTCCGTTGACTTCGGTCCTGAGGAGGTCGTCGTAAAGAAGCGGTGTCTTGTGCTTGGTACCTTTGTCTTCTTCCATCAACGTTAGATTGGTGAAGATCCGTTCAAATTTAAGTAGAAGCTCGCTGTTCAGTGGATCGGCTTGAATCTGACAGAGGTGAATTGTCAAATAGCGTTTGACATCTTCAGCAACCCGCTTGATTTCCTCCTGTGTCATTGACGGTATGTCATCACCGACCTGACCTGTGGTGAGATAGTGAAGAACGTTGTCTCTAAATTGACTAAATATTTATTATTGACACTAGTATTTAAACGTAAAAAGAGCATCATCAGCATCAACAACAACTAGAACATAAACCATATATTATATAAATGTATTATCAATGAACGTTTAACTTACTTGCCAAATCCCAATTTATATTTGCGAGCGGATCATGATCAGGGGCTGAGAAATCATTTTCGAGATATGGGGCTCTCACATTGAGTAATGGATTGACATTGTGCCTCGATGTCACTGCCCCAGGGAAGGCTTACTCGGGTCGGTGCTAGAATGTCAGCCGATTTGGTCAAAAAGTGGGGTTTTGGGCCATGTTCTATTAAAGTGACTCGGTAACATTGTTGAAGGTTGATGAAAAAAAAATTGTATTTTTTGTATGAAATGTTACTTTTTATATTCCTTCTAATGTACTAACCCTCTAACATGCAAACAATCCTGAAAAAATTCTCAAACCACAAAGGTATTTATGGTTTTCTTTGTAGGCGTCACTGTGCGACACCCTCTAACAGTAAATTCTTCCAACCATGTTTGAATTTTCCCAACCGTTTTCCATGGAAATAAGACATAACACAGGCTTTTAAAAATCTTTCAACCCTTAAATGTCTGGAATGTCATATAGAGCCAATTCATTGCTTTGTGACAATTTACATTCACCTAAAATGTAATTAAATTGTAATAATATAGTTAGGAGAATAAAGGAATCGATCAGATCAGTTTTCTCCAATTTTAATCATTAATAATGGTCTGTTTTCACTTAAACCTTCAGACTATCATTAATTGTACATCTATCATTGAAGTCACTACCTAAGCACCATTTTCTCTCATCTGAACAATGTTACCAAGTCCCTTTAAGCAAATCTTGCGGTAAATGTCATAAAGAATGTACATAATCTTGTCCATTTCATAACTAAAGGAGGTAAAAACGACTTTCTCCTTTAAAACGTACGCTCCTGGATCGTTATGCGCATAGTTCATGCACTAATGTTTTATTTCCGTGTTTTATAGACGGAGATTCCTCCTTAATAACTGTCTACCCCCGGCGAACCATCAATGCCTACGGATTCGTGAATAACGCCACCTTCGGCTTGCATCAGGTAAGGGATGGAAGAGATCGCAATTGCGAAATAGATGGGGTTTTTTAAACGTCCAGATTTTGGATTAGATGCACGCGTGTGTCGATCTCACGTGCAAACAGAGGACTATTTCGCGCGTTTCGAGGATCGACCATGAGATCGATGTGCCAGAGCACCTTAGCTGCCGTAATTAAGGGCTACTCCTTAGTTTGCTGCACTGTTGTTATGGAATACCTTATTTTTACCAATACATTTAGCACATAAATGTTAAAAACATTATTGCTTTAAAAAAATATATGGCCTGTTTTTTCTCATATAACTTTTTTCGAAGTTACATTTGAATATTCAACTTTATTCTTTTGGTGTGCTCATGCACTTTTGTTGGATACTGCATATATAGGCCTGATGTTTGTTTGGTGGGGGTGTGTGTGCGTGTGTGTGCATATGTATGTGTGTAATAATTACCTTTTCGTACACTATCAGCAAGTTTAACGAGCTTAATGCTCTCTAACTTGTTGACAAGTATGTCCCTCGCCTTGCTTTCACGTACTGTCTTCCGCCATTCGTAAAGCATCTGATAGGAAGCTTGCATGGAGTTGCCAAGCTTGTCTTTCTCAAACTGATTTAGTTGAGCCTCAGTGAATCCTAAAGCTATTCCGACATTTCTGAATTCTGAGGGATCCATACCTTCAGCAAGGAGATAGAGCTCAATCTCGGTCAGACTTCCAAGACTAAATTATAGACAAAAAAAGAATTATTAATTACATATAGCGCTTATAAATATTTGCGAGATTTGTAATCAAAATAACTTTCATTTTTATTTTCTTTGACTTGCGAATACACTTTTTTACTGTTGTATGATATCTATCCAAATTGCCTAATATGCAAGCGCCCAAACAACACTGCAAAATATCAAAAGATAATTGGACCGGGTAAACATAATGAGAATATGCAAGACTTCTACACATTTTGATTTCATTCATGAATTCCAATTATTAATTTTTACCAGCAAAGTCAAAAACTGTTATTCTCCGTAAATTTAAACCCGAAGCTGGGCTTAAGCTTTGTTCAAAATCGGGATTAAGAAAGGAAATTAGTCTGAGGTCTAATTGAATTATCGTTCGGTAAACGTGATCTTAGATCCAAAGTCGGGTTTAGTAGAATACGGACTGATGGATTTTTATATTTTTTAAAGTTTTAATGTGTTTTATTGAAACAGAATTAAATACAATCACAATATTTACAAGTAATTATAAAAGATTACAAAAAGCAGTACAAAGTAGATTAAAATCTCACGAAAAGTAAATTACACTAAGATGCAGAAAATTAAATGCACATGTACCTATACAACATTATAAAACAAACTTCCCTTTTTTAAAGTGCATAGGCAATTTTTTTTTCTTTTTTGCAATACGATATTCAAGATCTTTATTATAATCAATGTAAGTTCTGAAACCTTGAAAATTGGGATTTGTACTTTGAAATTTGCATTTATAAATGTAGTACTTAAGCATAAGAGATAAATAGGTCAAACAAATATATCCTTTTCATAGCCAAACATTCTTTCAAATATTGAAAAATTCACTACTTTACTAATCTTCTGATTAATAGTTTTAATGGTATCATCACCAAATGGGTTTTACAGTCTGACATTCAATAAAAAGATGTAGATAAGTCTCGGGTTCATTATCGCATAAAAAAAACAATTAGGAGAATCCTTTTGTTTAATTTTGAACAAGAAGTTATTTAATGCTATTGCTTTATGCAATAGTTTGAAATAAAACGAACAAATGCGAGTGCTTATAGAACATTTGAAATTATCAATATGAATCTTATCCCAATTGACAGGGTTAGGGTCAGAAAGTTCTTTCCAGAATGTTAATCTCTTTTCGGGAACATGTGGCTCTAGAATGACATTATAAGCATATTTGGGAACTTTCCTAGCTTGCACAAGTTTATTGATAAAGGTATCAAAGATTACATCATGATTCAGGTCTGATGAGACCACCCAATCAGAAGGAACATTTTTCATGAGAAAATTGTATTTCCTCCTATCCCTAGCATTAATATCGTAATCAAGTATCAATTCTTCAAAAAGTATGCTACCAAGGTGAGGAGGATTAAGCAAATCACTAATAAAGATGATTCCTTTATGAATCCAATCCTGATACAAAAAAACAAAAAAAATTCTTGGATTTAGAACTAATATTCTTTTAAAACCAAATACATTGACAAGAACTAATTGAGGAAAAAGCCATATCAAATTCAGCTTTCATTAAATTCCCTTTAAAAATGAACTACGTTCGAAGGGAATCAGCTAATTGACTTGAGTATAATTTGTTCAAAATTTGGTCAGGGGCATGAGCCTTAAAATGTTTCTTTCTTTATTAAACTTTACTAAAACAGCAAGCTCAATGGATTTCCATAAGCTTATATAATTATCGTCTAGTAGCAACTTAACCCAAGAAACGTTCTGAGCTATAGCGTATGAATAGGGGTCAATCATTCGTTAACCATATAAAGAAAAATCATTACACATGAATTGTCTTTTGACCCTATCATTGCCCCCACTTCATATGAACTTATACAAAATTGTATTCAATGTTTTGAAAAAGGATTTTGGTATCTTAATACATAAAACAGAGTACATATATAGGAGTTCAGGCAACAATAGGGTCTTTACGACACAGATCTTCCCAACTAGGGATAAACTTCTTGCGCGCCAACAATTCAGAGTATTTTCAATTGACTTAAGTTTTGTCTTTTAATTAAGGTCAAATAAACGGTAAGTATTCGAAGAAAAGAGTATTCCCAATTTCCTAAACAACTCTTTATTCCATTTTAAACCCGTTTCTGATAATGGTTGTTGTAAAGATCCCCGTTTGGAGCCAATCCATATAGCCTCTGATTTATTTATGTTAAGTTTACAACCCGAACAAACAGAAAATTTACCAATGGTATCAAAATAATGAATTAAGAGAGAGAGGAGACCCATTAATGAAACATGTAGAGTCATCTGCTAACATGGAGATTTTCAGATTGTTACCTTCCATCGGAATACCTTTAATATTAGTATTTTGACGAACGGCGAATGCCATTGTTTCAATAACAAAACGAAATAAATAAGGGGATATAGGACACCCTTGAAAAATACCTCTTTCCATATTTAATTCTTTAGTGAGATTTCCATAATTAGTGACATACCTTCTCCTATCCGAATAAAAAATTCGAATACAGTCAATAAACTTACTACCAACATTGAATGAGAGACACTGTCAATTGCTTTTTCAATATCTAGAAGTAAGATAGCGCCAGGAATGTCATTTGATTCTGTGTACGGACTGATGGATTTTAATTTTCATAAGTTGCTCTTTCATGTGCTTACTTATCATACGGACCAGGGTTTTGTTCTACGTCACCGGATCTCAATAGGAGTATGTTGGTCATGTCTGGACAGTCATTCCCTTTGATTGCATCTGCTTCACCGCTGGTTGTTCTTGATCCGAGGACCGGATAGGTCGGTGATCCATGATATTCCGTTACTTTCTGGAGGACAATTATGGACATAAGACACTTTTTAAAACGATGATTAGACATTATTTGTCAAAAAACAAGTAGAATCACGAATCAATAAGACTTCTGTCTAAGAGTAAAGGGCATTTTTATTATTGATTACAATGCAAATTGACATGAAATTTTAAAAACAAGGTTCTCCAGTGTAGATTACTGCGATCGGTGTATATTACTTTATACTTTATGAATAGCAAGGAAGTTTACTTTACAGCTCACATTTTGTTCAACATAACCAATTGAATTCGGTTTCGTTTACATTTTTTCAGAGACGCGCTGTAAAGTTTTTTGTTTGTCTGGTTGTGTGTTTATTTATGTGAGAGGGGTGGTTCTAGGACAAGTGACATTTTTAAAATATCAATCATACCTTAATAGATGGTGTTGTTTGCTCGGTGTTTGTCGTTGTATCTTGCCTGGGTTTAGGTGATAAGCCCAACGATTGGACCTCTATCCCCGACGGTGCAGAGTTTGATGTCTCCTCCTTGTCTAGTTTGATACGATCTGGCTCACCAGGAACTGCTGCAGGTACATGTGAGTACGACTCCGATGTGCCAACTTCAGGTTGGTCTGTTTGACTTATCTGAGATGATTTGGTGGGATATTCAGGTGACATGATATTGAAGGCGATGTTTCTATCGTCCACTGTGTCTTCCGTACATGGTCGGGGATCTGGGTTCTGAATGTCTGTGGTAGCACGGACAGGGTTGGTCTCATTTGCCGTTGGAGAACTACTGTTTTCAGCACACGAAGACTCAGAGTAAGATACCTCGTTAGGTCCGGGGCTTTTTACATCACATGAGGATCCACTCCCCTTGACAGCATCACAGTCTTGACCGTCACATTGTGACCGAGTCTGAGAAGTGTTACATTCTGAGTTTTGTTTGGGTGACTGAACATTCTTGGCTCTTTTGATCAAGTTGAAAAGTTTCCTCGAAAAGTGGTTGTAGTCATATTCTTTCTTCCGCCGACGTGTAAACGTGCCAATCCTGACACGACACGCCACTCACCGAGAGACACAGGCATGGTGACATCCAGATGCTATAGGACAGATTTAAAGAAAATACAGAAATCAATGAAATAAAAAATATTTAACAATTAGTACACCTTTTGAATATGTATCGTTAATTTAGCAGCGATTCACACTTTTGAGCCTGTACTACAAATCAAAGTTGGAGATGATGAAGCGATGATCTTTAAGAATAAAGTGTCTGACCATTATAATTATGTTGGACTGGGCGGGGGGGGGGGGGGTATTTGCATTTCAATCCGTCGATAAACCACTACGAGCTCCAGCCTATCCCCTTCTTTCTCTCCCCCCCCCCCCTTTCATTTTGTTCTCCTGCTCTCAGTCCTCTTCTCCCTTTTTTCTCTTTTTCTCTCTTGCTAGTCTTCTTAGACAACTGGCTGCTCGGTTGTTTTCCTCGGAACTGCCTTCTAACTTCCAACTTAATTTTGTTTTCTTTAATACAATTTTTTTTCTCGAAATCATGACTCCCATTACAAACCTTCTGAATGTCCAACCTTCCGGAATTATGAGCCTTTGTAACCAACAACAAAAAACGTGTAACCGTAATATCCGTACATGCATATGCTGCTAATCAATCGTGTCAATTAGAGTTACTGTCTTCAGCGTTAAAACGCACGTTCATACAGCCTAGTCACCAAATCATGTTAAATCATAGAGAAGAAGAGATAAAGAGAGAGAGAGAGAGAGAGAGAGAGAGAGAGAGAGACAGAGAAAGGGGATGGAGAGAGAGAGAGAGAAAGAGAGAGAAAAGACAGGGAGAGAGGGAGAGAGAAATGAAATTCATGTAATTCTCAAACCGTGTTCCCCTCTGCTTTTGAACGGGTTAGAAAGAATCAGAATGACCTTTGTAATAAACAATTTCAAAGATTAATAAGAGAAAAAAGGGTTTGGCTTTGATTTTGTATGGTTCATATCTATTAAAAGAAATGCGGTCAGAGTCATGTGAATGTGTGTGTGTTATGTTTGATAATTATAATGGGTCTGTTCAATTCGAAAACGAAACTACTATACTGTATATATTACGATACGTGTAACCGTAATATCCGTACATGCATATGCTGCTAATCAATCGTGTCAATTAGAGTTACTGTCTTCATCGTTAAAACGCACGTTCATACAGCCTAGTCACCAAATCATGTTAAATCATAGAGAAGGAGAGATAAAGAGAGAGAGAGAAAGACAGAGAAAGGGGTGGAGAGAGAGAGAGAGAGAGAAAAGACAGGGAGAGAGGGAGAGAGAAATGAAATTCATGTAATTCTCAAACCGTGTTCCCCACTGCTTTTGAACGGGTTAGAAAGAATCAGAATGACCTTTGTAATAAACAATTTCAAAGATTAATAAGAGAAAAAAGGGTTTGGCTTTGATTTTGTATGGTTCATATCTATTAAAAGAAATGCGGTCAGAGTCATGTGAATGTGTGTGTGTTATGTTTGATAATTATAATGGGTCTATTCAATTCGAAAATGAAACCACTATACTGTATGAGGGGAATTTGGAACTCATGGTAGCCAGGCAATCTCTTCTCCCTTTTTTCTCTTTTTCTCTCGTGCTAGTCTTCTTGGACAACTGGGTGCTTGGTTGTTTCCCCCGGAACTGCCTTCTAACTTCCAACTTAATTTTGTTTTCTTTAATACAATTTTTTTCTCGAAATCATGACTCCCATTACAAACCTTCTGAATGTCCAACCCTCCGGAATTATGAGCCTTTGTAATCAACAAAAAGATACGTGTGACCGTAATATCCGTACATGCATATGCTGCTAATCAATCGTGTCAATTAGAGTTACTGTCTTCAGCGTTAAAACGCACGTTCATACAGCCTAGTCACCAAATCATGTTAAATCATAGAGAAGGAGAGATAAAGAGAGAGAGAGAGAGAGAGAGACAGAGAAAGGGGTGGAGACAGAGAGAGAGAGAGAGAGAGAGAAAAGACAGGGAGAGAGGGAGAGAGAAATGAAATTCATGTAATTCTCAAACCGTGTTCCCCTCTGCTTTTGAACGGGTTAGAAAGAATCAGAATGGCCTTTGTAATAAACAATTTCAAAGATTAATAAGAGAAAAAAGGGTTTGGCTTTGATTTTGTATGGTTCATATATCTATTAAAAGAAATGCGGTCAGAGTCATGTGAATGTGTGTGTGTTATGTTTGATAATTATAATGGGTCTGTTCAATTCGAAAACGAAACTACTATACTGTATATATTACGATACGTGTAACCGTAATATCCGTACATGCATATGCTGCTAATCAATCGTGTCAATTAGAGTTACTGTCTTCATCGTTAAAACGCACGTTCATACAGCCTAGTCACCCAATCATGTTAAATCATAGAGAAGAAGAGATAAAGAGAAGGAGAGAGAAAGACAGAGAAAGGGGTGGAGAGAGAGAGAGAGAGAGAGAGAGAAAAGACAGGGAGAGAGGGAGAGAGAAATGAAATTCATGTAATTCTCAAACCGTGTTCCCCTCTGCTTTTGAACGGGTTAGAAAGAATCAGAATGGCCTTTGTAATAAACAATTTCCAAGATTAATAAGAGAAAAAAGGGTTTGGCTTTGATTTTGTATGGTTCATATCTATTAAAAGAAATGCGGTCAGAGTCATGTGAATGTGTGTGTGTTATGTTTAATAATTATAATGGGTCTATTCAATTCGAAAATGAAACCACTATACTGTATGAAGGGGAATTTGGAACTAATGGTAGCCAGGCAATCTCTTCTCCCTTTTTTCTCTTTTTCTCTCGTGCTAGTCTTCTTGGACAACTGGGTGCTTGGTTGTTTCCCCCGGAACTGCCTTCTAACTTCCAACTTAATTTTGTTTTCTTTAATACAATTTTTTTCTCGAAATCATGACTCCCATTACAAACCTTCTGAATGTCCAACCCTCCGGAATTATGAGCCTTTGTAATCAACAAAAAGATACGTGTAACCGTAATATCCGTACATGCATATGCTGCTAATCAATCGTGTCAATTAGAGTTACTGTCTTCAGCGTTAAAACGCACGTTCATACAGCCTAGTCACCAAATCATGTTAAATCATAGAGAAGGAGAGATAAAGAGAGAGAGAGAGAGAGACAGAGAAAGGGGTGGAGACAGAGAGAGAGAGAAAAGACAGGGAGAGAGGGAGAGAGAAATGAAATTCATGTAATTCTCAAACCGTGTTCCCCTCTGCTTTTGAACGGGTTAGAAAGAATCAGAATGGCCTTTGTCACAAACAATTTCAAAGATTAATAAGAGAAAAAAAGGTTTGGATTTGATTTTGTATGGTTCATATCTATTAAAAGAAATGCGGTCAGAGTCATGTGAATGTGTGTGTGTTATGTTTGATAATTAAAATGGGTCTATTCAATTCGAAAACGAACCTACTATACTGTATGAGGGGAATTTGGAACTCATGGTAGCCAGGCAATCTCTTCTCCCTTTTTTCTCTTTTTCTCTCGTGCTAGTATTTTTGGACAACTGGGTGCTTAGTTGTTTCCCCCGGAACTGCCTTCTAACTTCCAACTTAATTTTGTTTTCTTTAATACAAGTTTTTTTCTCGAAATCATGACTCCCATTACAAACCTTCTGAATGTCCAACCTTCCGGAATTATGAGCCTTTGTAATCAACAAAAAGATACGTGTAACCGTAATATCCGTACATGCATATGCTGCTAATCAATCGTGTCAATTAGAGTTAGTGTCTTGAACGTTAAAACGCACGTTCATACAGCCTAGTCACCAAATCATGTTAAATCATAGAGAAGGAGAGATAAAGAGAAGGAGAGAGAAAGACAGAGAAAGGGGTGGAGAGAGAGAGAGAGAGAGAAAAGACAGGGAGAGAGGGAGAGAGAAATGAAATTCATGTAATTCTCAAACCGTGTTCCCCTCTGCTATTGAACGGGTTAGAAAGAATCAGAATGGCCTTTGTAATAAACAATTTCCAAGATTAATAAGAGAAAAAAGGGTTTGGCTTTGATTTTGTTTGGTTCATATCTATTAAAAGAAATGCGGTCAGAGTCATGTGAATCTGTGTGTGTTATGTTTGATAATTAGGCCTAAAATAAAAACTTGTTGCATTGCCCTTTGCGACCGACCCAAAAATCTGAAAATCTACGGTCGGCATTTTAAAAAAGTTTTTTTTTTTTTTTTAAACCATTTTTTAGATTTTTTTAAATTAATGAATACAAACATATGTATTTTGTTTGTTTAAATGAAATATGAATGAATAAAATCAAATTCTTCCCAAATTCTCACTCGTCTTCAAAGTTCTGCCCTAGTTTCAAAATCCTACTATCGTAAACGTGCACGTAGGTAGATCCCGGCCTCGTGTACGTGTTTATACGCCCGTTTATACCATGCACTGCACCAGCTAGAAACCAAGGAGATTTGGGCGACGGTCGCTGTTTAGAGTTTTCTATACGGAAAGGCTCACAACACTTTTATATTCATGACACATTTTGAAGGCACTAAAAAACATTAAAAACTGAAAAATATCGGCCAAAAAAGGGCGGGAAAAAACCAAAAAACAAACAAACAAACAAACATTAAAAACTGAAAAATATCGGCCAAAAGAGGGCGACAAAAAGAAAAGTAAAATAAAATAAAATCTTTTCCGACCGACCGACCCATGTTTTGGCACCCAAAGGGCAATGCAACAAGTTTTTATTTTAGGCCTTATAATGGGTCTGTTCAATTCGAAAATGAAACTACTATACTGTATATATTACGATACGTGTAACCGTAATATCCGTACATGCATATGCTGCTAATCAATCGTGTCAATTAGAGTTACTGTCTTCATCGTTAAAACGCACGTTCATACAGCCTAGTCACCAAATCATGTTAAATCATAGAGAAGGAGAGATAAAGAGAGAGAGAGAGAAAGACAGAGAAAGGGGTGGAGACAGAGAGAGAGAGAAAAGACAGGGAGAGAGGGAGAGAGAAATGAAATTCATGTAATTCTCAAACCGTGTTCCCCTCTG